GCGTACACGTGCAGGAAGCTCACATGCTGACGTGGGTGTAATTAAGAATGTGAACAAGGAAAGTTAACAAAAGTATCTCCTGCCTTTTAACTCAACACGCTCTCAACTCAAATTACCGTTACACACTTAGGTGATAAATTATTTTACGTGTTGTAATACAAATAAATAATTAATAAGTATATTTAACGTTTAAACTTTCAATACATAAAATAGGCCTAAACATATTAGGTTGGGAGTATGCTATTTACATATCTCATTTTACTTCTCACACACTCTTGATCATTTCTATTCGTTGATCTTCTTCAATTCATCCGATTCGACGGTCGAAAATTAAAAAAATATGTGTGAGAAGTAAAATGAGGTGTGTGGATATCACACCCCATTAGGTTTACCAAAAGCAAAACTATTTTTATTAGCAGAATCGCTAGTAGACGTAGATTTTATTATTACGAATAGAATAGATGGAACATGACAGGTTGATGACATTCACGCTGGAAAACTTTCCTTCTAAGCTTCCACCAATAATATCACACCTTCATTAATTAATAATTAAGTATGGCAAACTTGCTTTTTATATCTTTCAACTTAACACGGTCCTATATAAAAGCTTAGTGCCATAGAGGGAAACCCAATCGCCACAACCGCTAATCCTCAAACGCACCAAAAACGTCCAGAAACAAAATCCTACGACGAGAAGATATGCAAAACGAAGACGATTTCGAACAGGAATTCGTCTCTCCCAGCTTCAACAGCTACTCCACCGACAAACTAGCGGATGTCGCCGCCAAGGTCTGTCGGGAATTCGACCACCTGAATTTGCTCGAAGAATCGAAGTCCGATCAATTAGGGGACCATAAAAACGACAATGAATCCGCCGCCGACGAGGAGGAGGAGGAGGAGTTCGAATTCGTGTCGTTTCAGAAATCAGCCGACCAGGTTTTCTTCGACGAACACCAGATCGGCCCCGTTTTCCCCGTATTTAACCGCGACCTCCTGTCGGATAAAGGTCAACGCGATCCCCTCGCCGGCGGTCGGGATAATAAAAAGGTGGAGGAGGACGATGATGGTCTGCCGTCGTCGTCCTCATCCGACGTGGACGAGCTGGAGGAGGTCCCACCGGGGAATTACTGCGTGTGGATGCCGAAAGCCGCGTCGGGAGAAGCGCGTGGGAAGTGCAAGAAGAGCAAATCCACCGGGACTTCGTCATCAAGGCGGTGGAGCCTCCGGGATTTGCTGCGGCGGAGCAACAGCGAAGGCGGCAAGGAGTTGGTTTTCTTGACGCCTTTGTCGTCCAGCTCCAAAAAAGTAGAATACAACAAGGAAACCAAAAAGAGCTCCGGGTCCGGAACCGGGGCGGCGTCCGCGTCTGATGTGCCCAGGAAAAAGCCCAGTAAAGGTCCAAACGCGGTGTCGATGGCTCACGAGGCGTTCTATGTGAGGAACAAGACAGTGGCGAAGGACGGGTATAATAAGCGGCGGTCTTATCTTCCGTACAGGCAGGACCTGGTGGGGTTCTTTGCTAGTGTGAACGCCATGGGCAGAAGCTTTCCCCCTGCTCTCTGAAAATCTAATAGGAATTTAACTATTATTTAACTAAATTTTGTTTTTGTTCAAGCAAATCCTAGTTAGTTTGAGGGTTATGCCTAATTATTTACACAATTTTTCGTTTTAATTTTGTATACAGGTTGATTAGTGCACTGAAAAAGTGTGTGTGAGTTTCAGATTAAAAAACCTATGATGTATGATTTGAGCGATTATTAACTGTTGATGTATATATATTCACATTTGTTCTTTTATTTTCTCGTATAAGACGTCATCTTTTTAGTGTGCCTAGTTTAGAAGTCAATTTAATCAGGTTTCATATCATTTTCTACCCAATAATGTTGATGTCTGGATCAATTTAATTAGGTTTCATGTCATTTTCTTTCAAAATACTTTCAAACAAGTGTTAAATTACCCAAAAATATATGATTCCTCAGAGAATAATTTACATTGTATGAGTCCCGTCAGTACGCCTTATGTTATTTTTGGAAGTATTTTTGCTCATCACCATTTAGTGAATAAGATGGTAAATATACACCACTTTAAATGATGATGAGCAAAAATGCACTCGTTTTTTTTTTTTGTAAACCAATACGAGTCCTTTTCGTCCAGTTCATGGTTAAAAATCAGAAGGTGAAGGATCTTTTCGGTTTTTTAATTTGAAAAAAGAAAAAGAAAAAAAGAGCACATTTGTCCAACTATGCTGCTGTTATTTTCCAATGGAAAAGCATTGTCTCCGAATCTTCTTTGTGGGAATTAAGAGATCAATTAATTATATTCATTCATTATATATTGTGTGATATGTTTTCGTTAGATATTATTTATATTCAATTTAAAATTAAAATAATTTTTAATTGTACAATTTACGATGAATACACATAATTTATTGATTCCCGAATTTTCATAAAAAGGAGCCGAAAAAAATCCTTATCCTTTTCCTGTTGCACCACTTTCTTGCCCAAAATTTGGAAAAATACGAGAAAGTAAAAGTAGGAATCGTTCAGACTCAAATCCTGGAAATTTTGTGGCAGTGGGAACAGATGGAAGTTGACACATTCTGATCAGTCCAAATCTGCCAGGTGCTGAGCTCAAGCCTCAAACTGAAAGCCGCCTTATGCCTGCCTCACTTAAAGAAAATTTTCAGTGTGTATTCGAAAACACAATTCGATACAAATATCATAATATCATTGATTGAAAATTTTATTTTGTAAGTTTTTAATTAATTGTACTACATTAGGTATGATGAATCGTGTTGTTACCATATTGAAAAATCTCTTTTGAATCATCATCAATAATTGTTGAGATCATCATAATTATAATCATGCTGAAAAATCTCTCTTGAATCATCATCAATAATTATTGAGATCATCATAATTACCAAGATTAAATGGTTGGTAGTGTTTGGCTTCATAACAAAGTGGGTGTCTCCATCGGGCGTTGAGTGAGGGAAAAGTGAAGCGACTGTCTCACAAAGCTTTTAGCCCTTTGATTATCTATTTTTTTGATAAAATTTTCGGTAGATCTGCTTTATTAAGACACCTTTACTAAAACACAAGCACATACTTACTTTTTACTTTTATGTATTATACAAATGATGTGATGGAAATTTTCATATTCAAGTTCTTCTCCTTCGTGAATTACTGGTTGCCAATCTTCTTGAAATTCAATCATTTTTTTAAATGATTGAAAGTTTTTTTAGGTAAATTGTTTTTGAGTTTTAAAAGCACTCGAAGTGCTTCTTGTAATAAGCACTAATTCTATGTTTTTTTGTATGAAGTACTTCAAGTGTTTTTTTTTTTAAGGTTTCACGCTTTTTTTACTAAAATTTGATCATAAAAATAATTTCACCGGCCATACTTTTAATCATTTTAAAATACCTTTCAAACGAATCGATGGTTTCAAAATATCCTTCAATAAATCAAAACATGGACTCCTTTCGATGTGAGTTGCTAGATGGATAGATAGATGTGAACTTGATGACATAAAGAAGAAATAACAAATGTGAGTACAAAATTAGTTGGGAGTGTGGGTCAAGCTGACTTTATTTCAGAAACTTCCGAGTACCAAATAATAAAAAGTGTTATTTTTGTGATCAATCCGAGGAAAGAAATCAGGATCATGCTTCGATAGAGGAGTTTGAACGAAAAGACTATGATACTGTTCACTTTAATGAAAAATCATATTTTTACACTAAAAAGTCAATCATGTTACTATTCACTTTACCCTTTATTTTGTCCTTATCATTAAAACTTCAAGTTTTCAAGGCATTTTCATTAGTTTTCCTTTAATTTATATGCTCTGAAACCCTTTGATTTAATGTTGATCAATTCTAACATACATACACATAAATTTGTTCCACTCATTATTTGGTGGGAGATATTTTTCAGCGTGTCCTGAACACGAGACAGAATATTACATTTTATTAACAATTAGAAGAATATTTTTTTTAAGTGTTCTTCAATTGTATAATAACATGGGATGTTCGGCTCTTTTATTACAGTTACAGTAAAAAATTTCTCATTTGGTGGTGGTGGTGATGTCATGAATTGTTTCTTTATTAAATAAGTTCTTCATCAACTATCTTCTAAACCAAGTAGACGTATACGGAAAGAGATCCTCTCTAATCTCTTTCCCCAAAGTCATCAAATCAAGTGATCCGGACTTTTAAATTTTGATCCAACAATAAAAAATTATTATAGTTTTTAAAAGTTTTTACTAACTTATCTGTTTTTAGCCTTTGGATCAAATTTCAAAGCCCATATTACTTGATTTAGTGACTTTAGAGGAAGAATACCTTTATGTGTTGAGTGTAAAAAACCTTCTTATGACATTCTGAAGGGGTGTTAGCATCTGTTGTGCGTGTTACGATAACTTGTTCATCTCAATTGATTTTAAAATAAAACTTTAACTTTTTTTAACGAAAATAGCGCTCATGTCAAAGAAAAAATAATCTCATATTCTCAAGAATCCGTGTTTTTAAACTCTCAACCCTATTCTCCTAGATCTCAAGATCTAAAAAATTATAATTATTTCCTGTTCAATCTTACTTCAACGATAAATGATCATTTAATTCTTTTTCTTACTTTCTTTTTACCATTAAATAAATATGAAACGGTGAAAACCACGATACTCAGAGATCCCGGAGTTTAGGGCACGAGACCATATAAACCCTAAGCTTAATTTGACGCCGCCGATATTCGTGGCTATTATCGCGGGAACAGAAAAAAATAAAAAACGAATAAAAATCTCGCGGGAGCACGTACCCTGCTTCTCCTAACTACTTCATACTAAAATTACAGAACTACCCTTCCAGCGGTCAACGTCATACCTTTCACGGGCACCGATGGGTCCAAACTTTCTTCACACTCATCCACGTGGCACTCCAGATTGTATGATGAGCTGGCACGCTCGTGACTGCCCACGCTTCAGAGAGTTCACTGGAACTGGATAGAGAGAGAGAGAGAGAGAGAGAGAGAGAGAGAGAGAGAGAGAGAGAGAGAGAGAGAGAGAAGCTTCTCGCTCCAGCACAATCTCGGCAACAAATTCTAACGGTTTGAATTTCCTCAACGGGAATAACCGTCACCGATTCCTCGGGAAGAAGAAGATGGCGACTCTGCAACTTCCGGGTTGCAGAGCTATCGATCGCTCTTCGCCTCCGCCGTTGATCAACGACTCTTGCTCTTCCTCCGCGTTTTGGGGACGACACGTGGCTTTCATCACCGCCCGTCGTTCCTCGACAGAGAAGCTCCGGTCCTACGGCGGAGCGTTTAGGATCGTGGCGAAGTCGAGCGGTTCGACTGCGTCGTCGTTCAAGATGAACTTGAACGAGTACATGGTCACTCTCGACAAACCGCTCGGGATTCGGTTCGCGCTCTCCGTCGACGGCAGAATCTTCGTCCACGCCATCAAGAAAGGGGTATTTCCGTCATTTCGTCTTCATCCCTCTCTCCATTTCTCTCTCTTGAACAAAAGTTCAGAGCTTTTCATTGATTGATCGATCGATCGATTTAATTTTTATTGAATTTGATATTGCAGGGGAATGCGGAGAAGTCCAGGATAGTAATGGTGGGCGACACATTGAAAAAGGCCGGGGATTTGTCCGCCGGCCGGCTCGTTGAGGCCACCGATTTTGGTGATACACAGTGCGTATGTCTTTTTTTTTTTTTTTTTTAATTTTAACGAAAAACTGTCATTTTAACGAAAAATCATATTTTTACACTAAAAAATCAATCCTGATACTATTCACTTTACATTTTATTTTGTTATTTTTGTTAAAACTCAAAGTTTTCAAGTATTTTTCATTAGTTTTTTTTTTCCTTTCATACAAACTATATTCTACTTTAATTTAAATGAATATAAGACTACGGGCTTGGGTGCATAGATGTACATCTGCTATGACTAATGTGATTACGCCCACGTCTGCACGCACGTAGTATGTCAATAGCATTTTTCATCCCGATTGCATAAAATTGAAAAAGAAGTGTGCCCAAATTTCGAAATTGGTTCATGAATGTGTGTTCATTTTTGTTGTTTATTTTTTATTTTTTTCAGTCTTTGGTTTCTCCAGGAAGATGCTGAAGGAGAAAACAGGATCTGTTAGCCTGGTTCTTGAGAGACCCTTCTCTCCTTTTCCAATTCAGCAACTGCTTCTTATGAATGATCTCGATAATCTGTTCAACAGAGGTAGAGTTTCTTTTGCAACTTGGAACAAGGCTGTGCTGGCTTCAAGTTTGCAGTCATCTCCGGGAACCGGTGGGAACTCTGGCTTTGTTACGTTCTCCTCGAAGTTTCTGAAACCACGAGGATGGAATTATTTGAGTGACCAAAATTGTCATATTCAATCACAAATGCAGAAGAATACTCTTGCCCAACCCCTGAGCCAGCTTGCTTGTATTTACGCTGAAGAGGAGTCCGGAGATGGAGAATGGACTCATGGGAACTTCCCACTGGATGAATATGTTAAGGCACTGGATCGCTCTAAAGGCAAGCTATACTATAATCACGCTCTTGGTATGCGCTACAGTAAGGTGTGATGTTCATCAAATTCTTCGACTATAAACGTGCATTGAAAACTGGAGAGTGGATAAGATATGTTCGTTTGATAGTTCATATGAGTTACAGATAAATGCTCATTTGTTATGTTCATATGTCAGATTACTGAACAAATATATGTTGGATCATGCATACAAACAGAAGATGATGTGGCGGTGTTGGCGAATGTGGCAGTGAGTTACTGCTATACTATATACACATTGTATCAACTTCTTTTCTGTGTCTCTCTTTAACTGCTATGAAATTCTTCGTGCAGGGAGTTACTGCTATACTGAATTTCCAAAGTGGATTTGAGACAGAAAATTGGGGAATAAATTCCAACGCAATAAATGAGTCATGCCAAAAGTTCGATATTCTGATGATCAACTATCCTATAAGGTAACGAAACAATCTGTGCGCTATTCTATATCGATGAACAAAATTTATCTTTCTTTTGAAGTCACTTCAAATCATGGAGGTTGTGCATTGAGTTTCAGAAATGGAAATGAGTTTCTGAAAGTGTCAAAATGTAATGCTTTAAACAGCTCACTAACGAGGCCTCATAAAACTTCTGAACCTTTTCTTTTGCAGGGATGGAGATTCTTTTGATTTGAGGAAGAAACTGCCATTCTGTGTGGGGTTATTATTACGCTTATTAAAGAAGAATCATCGTGTGTTTGTTACTTGTACAACTGGTTTTGATCGGTCTCCTGCTTGTGTAATAGCATACCTACACTGGATGACTGATACTTCCCTTCACGCAGCTTATAATTTTGTCACCGGGTTGCATTTATGTAAGCCTGACAGGTTAGCATCTCAACCATCCTCTTTTCTTTTGAGTTTTATACATTATGAAAAGGAACATGTTAGCATGAAAAAGTCATTTATTGTGAGGGGATCGCAAATCCTCGCTGTGACTGTGACTTGTTAAAAAAAAAAGAGACTTTGTCTGTAAATAATGAAAGATAACCTTGAAATTTCAATGCAGACCGGCAATTGCTTGGGCGACATGGGATCTTATAGTCATGGTGGAAAATGGGAAACATGATGGACCTCCAACACATGCTGTGACATTTGTATGGAATGGACAAGAGGTAGTTGACAATTTCAGTTTCAACTTCAATTTGCTACGTATACTTAGCAGTGATATTGATCATTGTATAAATCTGAAGGGACAATGCAAGAAATTTCTTTCTTGATGCCTTACTTGGCATAGGACTAGATCTGTAAATAGTTTTAAGAACGTAGTCTTTAAGGCATTATACCGCTCTGTTGTTGAGCAGTAATAGAACTTATTCTGTTTCTGTTTGTGCTTCCTGATTCAGTCTATCTTGTTTTACAGGGGGAGGATGTAACCTTAGTTGGAGATTTCACTGCAAACTGGAAAGAACCAATTCGGGCAACTCATAAAGGTGGAACCCGATGGGAAGCAGAAGTCAGACTTTCACAAGGAAAGTAAGTAAAAGTCATTGTGTTATTTTGTTTATTATGATTAGAATCAAAATATGAGATCTAATGCCTTCGATGAACTTGTAGTATTGAATATTCTATCAAGCTAATGCGTTGCTGCTTGTTAATCTTTTCAACTTCTCATAGACTAGCTAATCTTGAAAAATGTCGCATGATGAGTTTATCTAAATTCATTTTAAGCAGTGATATGATGATCGTCTGCAGGTATTACTACAAGTTCATTGTTAATGGGAATTGGCGGCATTCAACATTGTCCCCATCTGAAAGGGATGGAAGTGGGAATGTCAACAATATAATCATTATTGGCGATACTGCCAGCGTGAGACCTTCTGTTCAACACCCGCAAAAGGTCAGTGCACTAATATGCATTTCTTTTTTTGTCGATTGTGTTCTTTTCTTACGAATTTGAGCAAGTAGATTAGACCATTGAACTTGTTTTCTCTTCCGGTAAGCAAAAAATTGGACTTGTATGCTTTTCCCCCTAAATGACACTGATGGATGATGGTTGTTTTGACATTTTGCTGTTTTAGGATGTGAATATTGTGAAGGTGATTGAGAGGCCATTGACAGAAAACGAGCGCTTCATGCTGGCAAAAGCTGCTCGTTGCATTTCATTCTCAATATGCCCGATTAGACTAGCTCCAAAGTAGGTTGGCAAGTACACCATACCGCGATCTGACGATTTTTCGAGGCTAGAACATACAGATCATGCAAATTAGTTTCTGCTGAGTCCCTAAAATAAAGACATTTTCATAAATGTAGCATGATGCAATTCTTGAGGTTGGTCTGTTATCGATGCCTTTCATGGGCCTATATGTTACTGATATCAATAAATTTGTTTTACAGAACTTGCACACTATCCTTGGAAGGCTTATGTACAAACAACCCACGTGATGGATGAAGAAAAAAGCCACAATGGTTGGCGACGCCAAAAAGGCGGTATTCTAAAATAATCACCCGATGTTAAGTAGATAAGTTAAGACATGACGATGCGTGATAGGCTTTTCATAACAATATGATTTCATTGCTTGATTTACAAGTATATATGTGAGATACAAGGAGATTACTTGCAAGGAAAATATTATCCCAAAGATAAGATTACACAAAATAATTAGGCTTTGCAAGAAATTAGGGGTTGATCAGATTTGTCAGGATTTCGTCTATCAACTGATTACATTGAGAAACTTTTCAGTGTACCCGAAACAATACACCACAAGTCATTATATAAGTGGAGAGGATTTTTATTTTTCAAGTGTCCCTCCACTTATAATAACAGTATAGTGTATCATCTTGCGACTCAGACATATTGAAAAATCTCTCACCACCACATTGGCTGGGAAGCGGGGGCCAACGTCAGCATATGCCATCTAATCTAAAGTATGCCGGAAATATGACACAAGGATGTCGACACATTGTTAATTAGGAAATGTCGACACAGTGTTTGGTTAGAAAATGTCGACATGTGTCATAACGCAATCGGTTTAAGTCACCGACAGAGCTTTTATAAGAGTTTGCATCAACTTATCAGACACTCCCACCCTTCTCTCCCACTTCTCGAGAGGAGCTTACATGCAACTGAGATGCTAAGGTGATGGTATTCCAAACCAATTATGCTATGTCATGTTGAAAAGTTGAAACATACTACGATCTGTGATGGGCTTGAAATGCCAACACCATCGCATCTCATGTTCCACGTAATTACTCTCCACTCTCCCTTATGGTGCTCTACCAACTGCGCAAGGCTGCATTGTCCCCATTTCAGTTGAACAATCATGGGACATGAAGGTACGATCTTTTAGTTTTCATTTAATTTCTCTGCTTCGAAAAATAGAAGAAACTAGGATTAATGAACGAAGATTAGAGTGATCTATATTTAAAGCCCACAACAAAGATTAGAGAGTCATAAGTCATAATATATTGGACGGAGAAATTTTTCAGTATATACAGAACGCAGGATGCAACACTACATATTATTATACAATTGAAGGAAGTTATTTTTTCAAGTGTTCCTCCAATTATATGATGACATGTAGTATACTACCCCGTGTTTTGGATATAGTAAAAAATCTCTCATTCGAGAGACTCTGTCTTGTCATCAAGTGTAGACACTTATGTTTATACATTGCTCATCTCGTTACTACCATGATAGTATGATACCCAGCTAGAATATATGGCATGGCATAGAAAAGTGAGAAATCAGACTGCAGGTTATATAGTGGCTATAGAATCCACAGGAGCCATATGTTTTAAGGATAGGAGTAGGACCTTATCTGTGTAATCCATCACCCACGCATGTCCACCATTAATTCCATGTCAACCAGGATATTAGAGATGCCCAGAACCAGAAGCTAGCATGTCTTCTTCAATCCTTACATTTTTATTTTTTATTTTTTTATTCTTTTGGATTTCACATTTTGGCTTTGTGGTATATATATATATGTTATCTCTATCTACATTGTCTGCCATGCATGAAAGACTGAAAATGATATATAAAGATATATTTTTGCTCACAACTCTCAAGTGATGGTGATGCTCATCATCCTATTTATTACCATTAGATGAGTTTAAATTTTGAGATCTGTGTAATAGATAGACATAAATCCTAAAATTTAAACTTATCAAACAATAATAAATATGATGGTGAGTATTACCACCACTCGAGGATGGTAAGCAAAATTGCACTCAATATATATGGGGAGTCTATACATTGACATTGGATATTCGAGACTGAATGTGTAAAGACGAAGAGTCTTTCTATTATATAACAGTGTATAACATATACTCCACATGCAACGATATTTAATCTTCTAAACCTTAAAAGAGAAACGAACTCGTGACATGTAATGGTTTAAAACGCTGATTCAAGAAATACTTAATAAAAGGAGAAATGTGGGTTACCTTTATGAACAATTTGATATATATTATGTAACTCAATCAGAATTTAGAAGCAATTCATTTGAGAGGGACCTGCAGGTTGACCCTATGAATGGGATGGTCGGTTTCATTAAATTGTATATATTTTCCTTGTTCATCAGTCACCAAAGTAGATAGCTAGCTAGGAGATTAGGAATTGGGAATGAAATTATTTAAATTTGTGACACATCATTTAGTTTGTAAATTTTGTGTCAAATTTAGTCTCCCTAACATTACCCATAAATTAATATGTATGTAGTTCAACAAGGCGAAAACACAAATGGCGCAGCGGCAGGTGGCAAACAAGTAAATTTTTGGTTTAGAACACTATAATTATGTAGTGTTATTATTATGTTCAAATTGTTATGTGCATATGTCTTTTATTAACATATCTTAATATGTAGAATGATAACACTAAACGGCAGTATTTTCGGTACACAAAATAATATTTGTGACAAACAGGCAATGCATGAAAGTAGCTTTTTACGAAGACGATGAAGGAAAAATTAAGAGTAGCACTATTGTGTATGACTAGGGCAGATAGAAGGTGTAGCGATGCATGATGGCTATGCAATGCAAATGGCGAGTGGTAGTGAAAGGAGATAGAGAGATTGGGTTCATCTCCGACGTCCAAACCTCATCCATGCAGATTAGAAGCTCTCGTTGACTGAGCTTTCACTTTCACTATTTCACTATTTGAATATAGGATGGGTTCAACGGTGAAGTGTATAAAGCCAGGCAGTTCAAGAGTTCTTTGGGCACCATGTCTTCAGCTTCGTTAGTTAAGAGCTTCAACCTCACCTCCTCCGCGTCCTCCGCCCTCTCTCCTGCTAGCAGCAGGAAACCTAGTTGTATTTCTGCCAGGATCAGCACTTCTTCTTCTTCTAGATCTCCTCCTCCAAACCTTATCCAAAACAAGCCTGTTAACTCCGTTCCTGCTATCACTCGGGTACACTCTCTCACTCTCTCTATATCCTTCAACTCATCATGTGTACATTAGTTTCAAGTAGTGTATATGACAATGTGACTGCCCTAGGCTCTGCACTTCGACATCGAAAACCTGACGATAGTCACTGACACTATCAGTTTCAAAGGGCGGGATGTGTAAAAGGTCTACTAGCTGGTTGCATGTAAATATGACGATACAACCACTATTAGGCCTTTTACCTATCCCATCCTGTGCCACCAAGTGCCCGTGATTATTGTCAGTTTTTCTTGCAGCGGCTGCGGTTGTCTGAAAATATATGTATTGCAGCTTCATAAATATTTACGGCCCTGGTAGCTCTTTGGTTCACGTGGTGAAACCGGGACAGGTAGAGAACTCTACTGGTGTACAATACCAGACTTGAACACGTTTGATTATACATGTTCATTGTGATCTATGATTAATCAGTGTTCTTATCACACGACCAATCCTCTGCTTATCGGATGACGTGCACGCTGTTCATGGATTCAACATCCTTTAAAAATGACACATGTATGGTTTGAATCCAAGTAAATAAAAAAGAAAAATGACACATGTATGGTACTAATTTTCCCTAATCGATATTTAGGTGAAATAAAAAGGTATAAAGGAAGAAGTACATGTTAACAAATTAAATGTTAACATATTATTTGCGTGCGTGAAAAATAATTAGAAAGAAGAAATGGCAAAGGAGTACGAAGAGGCCATTGCATCTCTGCAGAAACTTCTCAGTGAGAAGGAGGAGCTGAGAGCTGAAGCGGCTGCGAAGGTGGAGCAGGTTACAGCCGAGCTGGCGACAGCTGAGGCCGGCGGCGCCACCAAGCCTTATGACGCCGCTGAGAGGCTCAAGAGCGGCTACATTCACTTCAAGAAGGAGAAATACGAGTATGCTCTCTTTTTACTAAATAGAGGATTAAACGAGATTAGCTTCCGACTGACAGTCATATATGTATGTGTGTGTGTGTGTGTATATATTAAGTTGCAGACAAATTAACTATAACCATTTTGTTCCTTAATTTAACAGCAAGAATCCAGCTCTGTACGGTGAACTTGCCAAGGGACAATGGCCCAAGTTTATGCTGTTTGCTTGCTCGGATTCTCGAGTTTGCCCATCACATGTTCTGGATATGCAGCCAGGAGAGGCTTTTGTTGTCCGCACAGTTGCTAACTTGGTCCCACCGTATGATAAGGTTTACATATTTCCTCAGACTTTTTATGTGTTCTGCCGCAACAAAACGTGGCTTTTTGTGTGTCCCTGTATATATAATATTGAACGGGATTTTAATTTAATTTTCTCTGTACGTGTTAATAGGTTAAATACGCTGGAACTGGGGCGGCCGTTGAGTATGCTGTCTTGCATCTCAAGGTAATTAATCCATGCATTTTAGTTTAGTTTCTTGGTTTTGTAATAATTAATCGTATTTAGCCAAATGCTGTTTTCATTAGTAATATTAATCTTGTGTATGTAATATATGTATTTATAGGTTTCATACATAGTGGTGATTGGGCACAGCGCCTGTGGAGGAATCAAGGCACTCCTGTCTATTCCAGAAGATGGGTCGACCCTCGGCACGTAAGCAAGCAACCCACTATTATCAGCTTGTTTGGAAGTGTTTTTAAAATGACTGAAAACGTTTTTGGTGAAAATCTGTTTGAAACTAATTTCTAATAAAAATTCAAGTAGATCCTGGATTAGCACTTTAAGTGCTTCATGCAAAAAGCACACATATGGTACTTCTTCCAAAAAGCACTTAAAAGTGCTTTTGAAACCCAAAAAAAATCTCATCAAAAACATTTTTAATCATTTTAATACACTTTCAAACAAGCTCGAATTGTTTTTGTTAGAAGTACTTTAAGTTTAAACAAGTCAAAATTTTCATTTAAAGTCTAAGTGCGTTCAGTTTTTCTTTCAGAAAGCGCTTCTACGAGCCATAAACATCTTTAACATTTGCTGCCAAAAGAACTCAACTGTTTTAGGTTGTTAGAAAGTACTTCTAGCTCTTCCAGAAGCAACCCCAAACAAATTAACATTACACTTATTTATTATCTTAATTGCGAAATGATGAATGGCTGCATGATGAATGGATGGTGCAGTGACTTCATAGAAGACTGGATTGGTATCGGATCGCCGGCAGCGAAGAAGGTGAAGGCAGATCGCGGTGCTGATAGTCCTTTCCCTGAACTATGCGGTCATTGCGAAAAGGTTTGTACCGATACATGAATCCACGTATTTACTGGTTAGCACCGTATTAACTTACTAACTGACTGAAACGAGTGCAGGAGGCGGTGAATGTATCGATCGGAAACCTGCTGAGCTATCCGTTTGTAAGAGAGGGTTTGCTGAAGAAAACCCTAGCAATCAAGGGAGGATACTATGACTTTGTCAATGGACATTTTGAGCTCTGGGATGTTGATTTCAGCCTCAACCCCACCTTCTCCGTATGATCGTAATCACATAATTCCCATGCAACTCAATTGCTTCCTAATTAATTATCGTTAAGTACTTCTAATTTCTTTCTTAATTTCATCTGCAATGTCCTCGGAAGCACGTCTGCAAATGTAATCGATATTTCGCAGCAATAATTATAATTTCCTCGAGTTTGTAATTACCTGGTTTGCGAATAAATAAAGGGAATGGTTTTGCTCACTTCTTTCAAGTGGTTGTGATGCTCACCATCCTATTTATCACCATTGGATTGTGTTTAAATTTTTAAATTTGTGTAGTGGATGAGATCCACGTTGACTCCTTTTGTTTTCTTTAAAATTTTATTGAATCGTAATTACTATTTTTTTATAGTTGAAATTTGTTTCCGTTGAGAGTACTGCAATTTTCGTGTTTTGTTTGTTTTAGGTTAAGGAGGTGGCTACCGTACTGCACTGGAAGCTCTAGGGCATTTGAGAGAGACAAGTGATGATTACGTACAAATTTAAGCCACTAATTTCGTTTCAAGAGTTGAATGTTATAATCTTCATCCATATCCCAAGTTCTCCATAATATTTCTACCTAGCTTTTGGGTTATTCTATTTACATCAAGGCAGTGTGACCGTCTCATTACACTTACTTCACATCATCGTACTTGTACATTAAAATAGTTTGAAATATCGCTACAATTGCACAACAATTATCCATTCATCATCGTCAACATATCAAATCCCAAAGCACGCCAGTCTTATCCACGAGAGATTTTTCAGTGTGCCTTATACACATACGTCATATGTCATTATATAACCAGGAATTTGATGCTTTTACTAGTGCAACCTCATACCCGAATATAAATAAACCCGACCCATATACACATACAAAAATAGTCCTGCATCATAAACATGGATGATTCAACTACAATATATCGACGGATAATTGTGTTAATTACAATAGTTTATGTACAGCAAGATCCTTCCTTCTAAAACTATCAATACATAAAAAATGGCGAGATGTTCCCTTTTTCGGTTAACTGAGAACTCATTAGATCAAAGGCGATTCGTTCCCAATCTATATATAGGTACTGCATTTTAAATACGTATGCTGAACCATTCAACTGGTCAATGTGGTCATGTCTCGTCGGCCTTTGGTTCAAGCACAACAGGGATTTTCTCCTTCTGATCACCGCGCAACACTTCCACAATCACCTGAGTTCGGAAGATCATAATGTTGAAATATTAAAAATGCTTGAGAACAAATTTACCTTAGTTTGGCCGAAGGGAGAAAAGTGCGTTTGTGTTAGAATGCTTCCAAACAAGGGACGGTCTGATGTGATAAGAGAACATACCTGATCGCCCACTTTACACTGATCGAGAATTCTATACAAGTCGCTGCCATTGCTGACCTTTTTTGCATTCACAGATGTTATAATGTCACCCAATATGAGTCTACCATAGGCGTCGCGCTTGGTTGGTACCAGTCCCTGCAAAATGGAGGTTCATCAGCTCCAGTTTTGTCATTTTATCCAACAAAACGAAATGAGTTTCTGTAGCACATGAAACTTGGATTAGAAAAATAGGAAAGGAGAGAATACCGCTTTGCCAGCTGGACCGTTAGCTGGTGCGTCTAAGACAAGCACACCACTTAACCCCAACTGTTCAACAGATTGATCAGGTGCAAACTTAATCCCTAAAATAGGTCTCGTGACCTTCCCAAATTTGACCAATTGGTCAACAATACCATTTACCTGAACAGGTTAAGAATTTAAAATACAAGTCAGAAGGTTTATATCGAAGCATGTTAAAGAAGGAATGTCAATGGAATGAAATTCATTTGATGTGTACTCACCGTGTCAACTGGAATTGAAAATCCAACACCGGATGATGCACCGTTTGGAGAATATATGGCTGTGTTTATCCCGATAAGGCTTCCAGTACTATCTAGAAGTGGCCCCCCACTATTACCAGGATTAATGGCAGCATCTATCTGTATAACATCTTGAATTGGACGGCCAGTAGCAGCAGAACTAATTTCTCTACGAAGCCCACTATAAATAGCAGAAAGAGTGCATCAGTGAAAGAGTGCAGAATGAGAATGAATGGAAAACAAGACCATTGTTGCCAATTCAGGCATGTCAATATCGAGTCCATGGAATTCGTACCTGATAACGCCAGTGGTAAGAGTATGATCAAGCCCAAACTGCAAAGTTAGATAAAACAGAAATCAAATTGTCAGTTAGTTTAACCATATGCTTAAAGCCATAACGAAACCCTTCACACAATAGTGAGTGAATGATCATCCAATTATAAGCCCTGTTGCAAGAAAGAGATGTTCCTTCATAACCAAAAACAAAGGTCATTAAATGTACTAAAACTTGTTAAGCTTACGTAAGCACAATCACGTTGATAGATGTGTAAAATTACTGCACCTAACCCATTATCTATCGATAATTGAACTAAGTGAGTATAGTGATACATAACGCTATCTCCATTGTATTTCAAAGAAAAGATAAGCATAATGCAGAAAATATATTGAAAGTAAAGTAATACTTACAGGATTGCCGATAGCAAACACTTTCTGACCAACAAGCAAGTCTGCAGATTGACCAATTGGTATAGGCCTTAGTTTCTCTTTGGGCGCATCAACATGTAGAACAGCAACATCCTTGTCTTGGTCAAATCCAACAACCTTGGCATTAAAAGTTGACTGATCACCAAGCGTGACCCTGTAAATAAGTAGCAGTTTTTTAGAATGCAAACCATGAGGAAAAGTACCATTAGCTGAATTTGCAACCAAAAGTTGTCCAATGCACGACTGGAGAAAAGCAAGTATACTGAAGACCGGCCCTTAAAAAGAGTGAAATGATCGCTATATGGAAAAGCAAATCAATTAATCAGACATACAGTGGACAAGATTCCATTGATGGCAAAAGTAGTTTCAACATAAATATGAAGGATTCAGAACGCAATGAACTAAAAGGGTCTCAAAAGTTCAAATGCAATCCATTACATCTTTCTAATCCCGGACTCTCCAAACCCCGTAATCTGGTAACATGATGCTTATGTTATGGGCTATCAAAGATACAACCCATAACGGGAACTAAGCTGCAAACTTCAGCAAAATTACAACGAGCTTATCAAAGCTGAAGTAGGTCCAACAAGCTTATCAAACTTCGGTTAGCAATACATTTGATGCTTAGGCAAAGCAGAACCACATTAAAGCATCACATTGTTCTGATAATACAACCAAAGTAACAATTCCGAACCAAAACTTGATGCCACAAAGCAGCAAATGCATTTCAACAAAGAAAGAATCAGAAACCAACTGACCTGAGATCAGAAGCGCCGCGAATCACGTGGTAATTGGTGACAACGTTGCCGTTTTTATCCCACACGAAGCCTGACCCAGACCCCTGCGGCACCTCAAACACGTCCAAAGTAAACGCATCCTGCCTAAAACCCACAAACACCAATCACTCCAAAAATCCCAAAAATCACAAATTAAGCCGAAATAAAAAATGCAGACATGGCGGCTAGAGCTATGTGCTCTCTATGCACCCGAGTGCGAATCCCGCTCTCGCAGTATAGATTTATTTAAAGTAGGATATAGGTTGTATACAAAAACTAATAGAACTTGAAATTTTCCAAAAGTGGTCCAATTTTCAGCAAAATCCAAAAGGTTCAAACTTCAACAGTACCTGGCTGCAAGATTGGTGATGTAAACAACAGAGGGAGTGTTCTCCTGAAAGAGCTGAACCGTGGCGAGCTCATCGGACTGCAGCTTCCTCGGCGGAGTGACGACGAAAGCGGAGGCGGGATCCACATCGGCGATGAACAGGGAAAGCGACAGAGCCGCCGAAGCGCAAAGAATGAGCAGAGATTCGAGACCCGAGAAGAAGGGGTTCTTGGTGGCGAGCAGAAGCTTGTGGAGGCACGGGGGACAGTAGGACTTGTACGGCGGGATCAGAGACCGCTTCTCGGATTTGCGGTGGAGGGAGAGGATGGGGGAGGTTGAGGATGCGGGTTTGTGGAGGGAAAAGGATTTGGAGAGAGGGAAAGGAAGGAACTTTCTGTTTGGGGAGCGAGAAAGTGGTGAGAAAGTTGGGGAGCAAGAGTGGAAGTGTGTGGAAATCAGCGAAGAAGCAGCCATCTGGTTATTTTCTCTTGGACAGCTGCTCCGGGAGGAGTGTCCAGTTCGCGTCCTATTGTTATTTATATCCAAGCAAATTGTATAACGAACATTATGGATTGTCTTGTGGTGAGAGTTAGTTGGGACTCAATGGAAGACTGATTGTTCGTGTGAGAAGAATGACTTACGTGAAACGAGTTATCACCATCGTAATGTTTAGATTCAATAATAAAATACTGAAAAGTTACTCAGTACTACTGTTTGGTAGTAGTTCTTTTCACTTTGAAGTGAGAAGTTTTAAGTTCGAATCTCGCAAATGACGAATTCGATACTAAATTAGACTGCTCATTGTGTAATTTTGTCGAACTTCTCCTTTTCTTAGTATAAAAATATTAATGTGCTAAAAATATATATATACACTGAAAAATATTCAAGTATTTTCACATAATGTTACATTATTGAACTAAAATGTCTTGTAATCCTAAACCTATTTCATGCAGGTTAGTCTCCTGTTTACAAATGCTTCTAGACCAGCTAATAACGGTTTCTTACAATAAAAAATACTTGATCATATTTTGCAAAAATAAAATAAAATGTTTACAGACCTTAGTGCTTATGTAGAAGCAGTTGCCAGAAAAGCATTTGAACTTTTGATAAAAAAAATATTTATAATAAAAACGCTTGTAACAAAAGTGTGTAAGACTATCTCCAATAGTTGGGCTAAAAGCTAAATTTTTTAACCCGGAAAATTTATCTTTTAGCCCAGAAACAGTTTTTCTGCTCCAACTGTTTTAACCTAAAATTTTAGCCTGGAATTATTAAAAAATGAACTTAGGCTATTTTTTTTGTTAAATTAAATTTGTTTTAAAAAATAAATATGTAGACTATCGTAAATTAATTTTATGAACATTTTAATCTAAAAAATTTAAAATTTGATAAATATTGAATGGAGTCCACTTCGATTTTTGGGCTAAATTTTGAGGGGATTTGGCATTGGTTTAGCATTTAACATTTAGCCCAAAATTTCCCTTTGGGTTGGAGTAGGTTTGAGAGGAAATTTTGGAGGGTAATTTGGCTTTTAGCCCACCATTGGAGTTGATCTAAGAGTATAAGTGTTTTTTACGTAAACAATCTCGAATGACTGCGGACACAATTGTAAACACCTTGTTTATGTACAACAATATTAGAAATTTAGTTATCTGCTGCATCTATTTTAACAAACTTTCACACCATTTTCTTAACAAACAACTAGGACGTTTAAAATCCAATTCAATCCCAATCAATCAATCTAATTACAGCGAATTTCTATGACTTCAACGGATTAGATTGAATCTCGAATTCAAAATCCAACATGATAACATATGATTAGTGTAAACCCCTGAATTATGAACGCAATTACGGAACTAAAAACAATTGATTAGATTAGTCTCCTAGGGCTAGGAGTACGCATATTCACAAGACGCATGAATCCGACCTCCTACTTTATTTTCTTATAAACCCCCAAAGACAACGAAAATTAAAGCCGCCTCTTCTACGAAAAATGCAGACGAGCTTCGACTCGAAGATTTTGAATGCTCGTATAAGCATTGATCAGTTCTTGAAAGGGAAAAAGGTCAGAGAGAGGATGCGTTACAAGATCTTCCCCAGGGGTCTTAGTTCCTTTGGAATGCCGTCAAAATTTCCGGCATTTATATCTGACTGCAGCATCGGTCTTTTCCCTGCTTTCCAAACAATGCCTTCTGCCAGGTGCTCCTTGTTCGGTGTCAACATGACGAAATTTGGATCAGCTCTTTGATAACTGCAAAATGGTTAAAACGATGCATTCTGCGTGAGACGAGTTCATACATCTTCAGGATGAAATGACCATTGACCATGTATACATGATTTAGAATATGAGAGCTCATCTAACTACGGAAAATAAAAAGTAAAGGCTGAAACAAATGAATGAACCTGGCTTGTCTAAGATTCTCCACGCGAAGGCCAAAACCATAACCTGTCTCCCCAACAATGTGATTTCTCGTAGCTGCAAAACACAAACGTATCAGTTTGTTGTACTCCATCCAATATTTCGACACACTCGCACTCAAATGCAAAGCAAGATTTAACAAAATCAAAGCAATGCTACTGTCATTCAGGCCGAAATCCAAGACGACAGATAGAAATACAGGTTTAATGATCCTTCATATTGCAGAAGGGATCTAGTTACACATGTAGCATATGTTTTAATGAGCCATTTGTTGAAAGTTCAAATAAAAACTTGATGTCACTGTTTATGTGCTGCTAGATGTCAATGTTTCTGTACTGGCCAAAAGCAGAGTGTGACAGCCTTCTGTAATGGCCGAAAGCAGTGCGTGTGTGCAAAAGTCTAAAGGTGTGTGTGAAAGTCTAAAGGTGTGTGTTAAAGTCTAAAGATGTGTGTGAAAATCTAAAGGTGTGTGCGTAAAGACTTTTGAACACTTATGTTTTACGTTGTCTTGTAAAATCTCTATAATAGAGATAGGTGCATGTCCATTCAATTCCATTCCCAATTTCGGCAATAGAGTTGAAACTTTTTTATATATCAAGTGCATGTTTTGTCAAGAAACTTGCTGCTTCCTTCTTTTCTTTTGTCTAACTTCGTAAAGAGAGTGAAAGTGAGAGGTGTGATAAAGTTAGAAAACTTATCACCCACATATTTTGGTATTGAGTTGGTAAACTTTGAATACCAACACCATTCAGTTAAGTTTATAATTAGGTCAGAACAGTTAGTCTGATGCAGACTCATGAAAATCTACCAATTAGAGATACCTGAAACGCTGAATGTGAAAGAAGGTTTCCACCAGGATTTAAATGCCAATGCTATCGATGAGCTGAGAGGGCCCACCTTTCCCTGCATGGATAAAGAATAAGTGTTCCATGAACATGATATGATCCGATATTGCAAGTACAAGATTGCATCAAATGCGCTACCTTGAGCATGAAGTTCTTATTGGCTTGCCAGGATGCAGCTACTTGAAAGGTGGAATCTTGGACATTAGGTCCATTGCTCGATTTAGGTACATCGCTTGATTCTGGAACATCGTTTGATTCTGGTACATCGCTTGATGATTTGATATCACCAACCCTAAAATAGCATCACAGTATAATCAGTTATCACCAAACTTGTTGCATATTACATAAGTTTAATTATTTACCTTGTCTGCAATTCAAAGCCAAAATCTATATAATTCGTAATTCCAACTACTTCATTTTCTTCGAGGGGGTTTTTCACCTGTTCAGTTGAAGCAGTTCAATGCTTATTAGTAAGGAAAACTAATTCAAAAATAAAAAATAATTTAAAAGAAATTTTCTGTATCATATAACAAACTGGGGATAGACAATACCCGTCTTTGGACCACCACGTGTTGATAGAATGAGGCAATGAACTGCAGTACAAAAGTTCATGTTTGAGATCCACAACAAGTTGTATAACATTCTATCAAGTATCCAGCACTGGGAGACAACCATGCATAGATAAACTAATTTACTTCAACAATTATAGGTAATCGAAAAACTATTGAATGTCAGATAAAACACTCGAGACTTGGAATCAATTAAACTTCACAAATTTTACCAAAACTAAACGAAACAAACCTGAGAACTTCTTGATAACTCCAGACCAAAATTGAATGATGGACTCAAAGGGCTGCTCGATCCCACTCCATAACCAATTGCAGCACTCCAATTCTTTAAATTTTTGTAGTTTTGAGTATCTTTACTCCCATCTAAAAACAATTAAAACAAGATAATAATTTGAAATAAAATTGTACCAAGATCCTAATCTGAATTTATAGAGAACAGCTCATACCAATGTAAACAAGAACTACAAACTAGAAAGTAACAAGGGAAATTGGTTCTTTAAGTATCTTGCACTATAGATGATGACATTCTTGAGTGAAATTTTTCTACTCCGTGGAAAAAAAAACATCTCTCAGTCTGAAGAACCACATTCAGTCCAGTAATGTTAAGGCATCTGAGTGACTTACATTCAGGCTCATACTGCACCCCAGCTGTTAGTCTTCCCATCTTGCTCACCAACCATGCCCTTCTTGGACAATCATCTTTCACTGCACAAACAGATAATTACATTAAATGCGCCTTGTAAGTTCAGGTAGAAAGATGACCCCAAAGTTATTTTCCCTTCCAATATTCAAATCATTCAAAAGGGCAATCTTAAGTTACAGATCAGCCAAACATGAGTTTATCCGGCAACATTTCAAAAAAAAAAAAAAAAAAAAAAATCCCAGTTTATATTGGGGGCGTTGATAACTTACGAGATAAGTTCACTAGCTGTGGCATGATATAGATATAAATAAACTGAATGTTCAGGTCCACAACATAGGTATCAGTTATGTATGACTCATATAGCAAGAATACTGAAGGAACTGAAATCGAGGTTACATACAGGAGAAGGGCATGACAGTGGCTCCAATTGACAAGTTTGACGAGCCATATCTCAATCCCATAACACCAAAGTCTTCAGAAGTTATTCTGCAAGAGTAACGAGCTCTGTCAACATTTTACATTTCATGTGTACACGCACCAACTATTTCTACGGAGGTTTTGGTTTTCCATACGACACACCTTTTTTTCAGCAACATTGGGAAAATTCCAAACGCTCCCAGTCCATATCTAGGGTAGTAAGCACAGGCCCTCATCTGCAAAACCCTGAAGTGAGAGAAAATATGTGAATAGGCTTACAAATATAGTCATGTTTCTGAACACAAAAACATGACAAAACTAAGAGAAAAAGACAACAAACTCTTTTGATTCAGAGAGATGTCCTTACGGATCAGTGTTCGATACAAAGAGGTCCATGAATGTGTGAGGATCATCAACATCACTGCTCAATCAAACAAAAACAAAGAAATTGTCATCGTTACCACATTTACGTCCAAGATATCGCGCATAAAACACAATTCATGTACAAGTACAATGGGAATCTGAATCTACTTCAACGTACCTTTGCCAGCGAAAAAATGCATTTCCAACTATATTCTCCTCGGGTTTGTGATCGAGCGGTCCTGAAACCTAAACATATTAAGGAAACAAAAAAGCGAAGATATTTCCCCGCGCCATCAAATCATCAACTTTCTAAAAATCAAGATGATGAAGGATACGGTTGCAACCAAATCGACGTGAGGATCGTCGATGGGCTTCAGCATGATCATTGTGCTGAAATGACAAGCTTGTTCAAAGTAATCGTCAAACAGACATTTCAGAGCAAGTTTCCCAAACAACAAGTCATACGACGACTCCAACATCCTGCATCAAAATTATTCACAAAAATTCCAAACAAAAAGAAAAATAATCAATAAAATAATCAAATACAAGCATTCAACGACGATTTGATTGCTGCAGATAATCAAACGCTGGCCAATTTTAACAAGGAGTGGCAGCACGATCACAGTAAGCAGTGACGACCTCAAACGTTACAGCATTCAGAGAAATAGAGTAAAAAATTGAGCGAACAATAATGCGATGGGGAGAGGACCGTAGGGAGGCGGGAGTTAAGGCAAACCTGGTGCGGGCGGCGAGCGGGGGGTAGTCGAAAAGCGGCGGGACGAGCACCATGGGCGGCGGTGGTTCCTTGTCCAGCAAGTTCCCCATCTCTGCGTCCTCCGGCAGCTGCCGATGTTAAAAATAAAAAGAAATAAAAATAAAAATAAGAAACCGCGCCCGCGTAAATCTGCACTCCAGACTGCAGAGGCCTAGGCCCAAATGTCGATGACCGGTTCAACGCTACTGATTGCGTGGCAGGTCCAGGTGGCACGCTCAACTCTCAAGTGGGCCAATCACTTGAAAGCCCAATGCTCACTTTTCCATTTGTTTGGGCTCTAATGAAAGCCCAGACTCTAAAACTAAATATAAAAAAAAAAGAGAAATTAGAGTAATGACCTTGAATTATTACTGAACTGTAACTTTGGTTTCTGAATTAAATATTCATTGGATTTGGTTCTCGAATTTTCCATGAAATTTTTGTTAACATGCTTACATGTCAAACACATGGAACACGCAATTGTATCATTGACTTCCGCATGGCTTAAAAACCCAAAAAATAAAAAATCAAACATAAAAGAGTACAAAGGAAAAATACTTTAAAAAATGAAGAGAAACTCGAACTTAAATGCATAAAAACGACACAATGCTCTCACAAACTAATTTAAACTTACGTACACATGTCAACATAAATGAGAAGACCCCACCCACCCAATTGGGTATTTTGCACTTTTTTCAAGATTATGCTCTAGTAAGAGAAACTCGAACTTAAATGCATTAAAACGATACAGTGCTCTCACAAACCGACTTAACTCACATACATATGTCAACATAAATGAGAAGACCCCACCCACCCAATTGGGTATTTTGCACTTTTTTCAAGATTATGCTCTAGTAAGAGAAACTTGAACTTAAATGTATAAAAAATGATACAATAATCTCACAAACTGACTTAACTCACATACACATGTCAACGTAAACGAGAAGACCTCACCCACCCAATTGGGTATTTTGCACTTTTTTCAAGAATATGCTCTAGCGACTCAAAATTCTCATGAATTTACCAAGAACCTCTCTTCTTTCCTAAATGCCCTTTTGACTAAACCTTAGGCCTCAAGTTGACCAACTGGCTCCTCAGTTTTTTTAGTGAAAAATAATTTCCGTACACTCAAAATTTGTTTACTTAACTACAACGAGAGAACGGAAATTCATATAACTTAAAAATAAAAGTAAAAAAAACGTAAGCAAAACAATTGAACATTCGTAAAATCACTTAGAACTACGGTTTAATATTATCTTCTTTACTTGTAATTGAGATGTCATAGGTCTGAATATGGTACATGGCATATGAACTTATGAAGTGATATTTGAACTCAAGTACAAAGAGGCGAACACATTTCATAACAATCCGGCCTAGCCTATAATTACAATTTTGGTCGAAACTTATAATAAAATTAAGATAAAATTATACACATAACTTCACGAATGAAGTAATTATTCTTAACCACTTAACCTACAACGCTTTATGATTAATTGTGTATGCTAGGAATCACCTAACTCTAACAGTTAATAAGAGGACAAAAAACAATTAACAGTCGAGGACAAAAAAACAAAAAAATAGTAGAAAAAAGGAGAGGCGTAAGGAAAGTATGGCGCGAAGTTCCACGATGCTTCTCTAGCTGCAAAAAAATAAATAAAGCTTCAACCTTTGGGCACGGCGGTCGTCTACCGAATGTCGGGATTCTTTCCACTTTCTTTCTTCCAAATTTCCGTTCGCCAAAATCTCATATATGTTTGCTTTACACACACACACACACACACACACACACACACACACATATATATTTCTCTCCTCTCCTCATTGGGTTTATAGGTTCATCCATTGAAAACCAGCAACGCCCAGAATCAGAAACGAGTGGCTGAAATACTTGGTCAGAACAATCTCTGTAAGTATGCAGCTCAACTGTTTGATTCAATGCCTTCAATGGGTTCTTCAATTTTCGGTGGATTTATTTTTTTATGAAATTTTAAACTTTTTGGTGGGTTTTTGAATTTGGGTTTTGTTATGTTTTCAGTTACTTGTGCATAATCCATATGTTTTGTTTCTTTTCTTTTATTGCACTTCGTTTTTCTACTTGTTTTTGGATAGATACCAAATGGGATGTAAAAAGTTTCAACCTTGGTGATGTTCTGTTATTCTCTTTTAAATCTTTTCTGATGAATCTGTAGATTTTCGTGTGTTGAAAAGTTAAAAAACATCGCAAGGGCTTATAAGGAGTTGGGTCATTCTCCCAATGGCGAATTGGTTTTGAGATTGGAATCTCATTTTCGTAACTTCGGGCATCTATGATAATCAGAACGTGTCATTGTGTTGTGTGTGATTTTTCTTGTATTCATTAATTCAACAGCATGCAGATTCCTAGTTAAGATTGCTAATATGGTTTTCGTCCCTTAATCTAGTAAACCCACAGGAGGATTGCAATGGCAACTTGTATACCCGCCGGAAGTGGCAGACTTCACTGTAGAGCGAGAGACATCAAGGGACAAGGTTGTAGAAGGACTTCTTGGATTGCCAGTGTTGCATTTAGTGGATGCAAACATAAAGACTTTTCATGGTAATTTGGTTACTGCCTTGATCCTCTTTATAATCTATATATAAGTCTTTTGCTTCACTTTGAAGTTGTTGGAACTGCTCTTCCGCCATCTAGATTTTGGTTGTCTAATGCCATGCTTACACTTTTGTACACATTTTTCCAGGTCACACGGGGTGTCAAAGTTCTTGCAGATCCAAAGATGTAACTTTTCCCCATCTCCAAGTAACGAGAACTCAAAGACCTTAAGAACGGTCACTTCATCGAGCTTGAGAGATGACTCCACCAAGTTTTTTGATTTTGCTGTCATTGGTAGTGGAGTTGCTGGGCTCCGCTATGCCCTTGAAGTGGCAAAACATGGATCTGTAGCCGTGATTACCAAGGCTGAACCTCATGAGAGCAACACAAACTACGCTCAAGGTGGTGTTAGTGCTGTTCTTTCCCTATTAGATTCTGTGGAGAGTCATGTCCAGGACACCATTATAGCAGGGGCTTATCTCTGTGACGAGGAGACTGTCAGAGTATGTTATAGAACTAATAAGTTTTAGATAATAATTGATTGTTGTCAATAGGTGTGTGTATGTACTTGTTCGTGCTTTTTTCTTAGGTTTGATATTTTGTCCAGGTTGTGTGTACAGAAGGACCTGAAAGAATTAGAGAATTAATTGCAATGGGGGCATCCTTTGATCACGGGGAGGATGGAAACTTGCACCTAGCAAGAGAGGGAGGTCACTCTCATCACAGGATTGTTCATGCTGCTGATACGACTGGAAGGGAGATTGAAAGGGCACTGTTGGAGGCCGTTCTTAAGGATCCTAAGATCTTCATGTTTGAACACCATCTTGCGATAGATTTGCTAACTTTTCAGGTTTACTTTTTTCTAATGTTTTGTTTGTATGAAAGTCTGATTGGATATTGGTTAACTAATTGATGGAATTCTGTGAATGCTTCTCCCTTTTTGCTAACAGAAAGATGATTTCTGGCAATGCAGGAGGGTTCTGATACAGTTTGTCTTGGCGTTGACACTTTAAATTCAGAAACACTAGAGGTGATTATAATTCACCACATACTAGTTTTAGAGGGCAATCGTTTGCTAAAAGATATCTATGCAATCATCATCATCTCATCTTCCTTGCCTTTTTCGCTAATGGAAACATATTTCCTTATTTAAGTTCTAACTTGCCTTATTTTGTACCTTCAGGTGATACGGTTTATCTCAAAGGTGACTTTACTTGCGTCAGGTGGGGCTGGACAAATCTATCCGACAACTACAAATCCTCCGGTACGGCTGTACCTCATGTTTTGAAGTGCCCCTGTAATTGTTGTTTCCTTATATCGTACAATAAGATGCAATTGCTTATCTAAGTATTAAGAGATGGAAAATTATGGTCAGAGAGTTATGACCTCTTTTAACATAAGTATAATGGTCGGTCTGATTGTTCTTGATTATATCTTGTAGGTAGCCACAGGGGATGGAATTGCTATGGCCCATCGAGCTCAAGCTGTGATTTCCAACATGGAGTAAGTAAACATCTATCACTTCTTTGAAATATTTTTGGGAGAAAATACTGTATTGCTTCAAATTTTGAGTAATCAATGAGTAGTACTAATATGGGTATAATGATCATGTGAGACAATCGAAAGGTCATTCCGAAGATTTGAATAAGACCTTTACGCCTTGATTTCACAACATTTCACCTGACAAGGTTTTCTTCCACAATTGACTAAACATAACGCTGTGCCGTCGCCCAGATTGGAAATTAGTTTTCGAATGGTCTTCCACTGGCGAAAGCAATGTTTAAGCTACATGGTTGTTAAGTGTTAAGTTATAGACTTTTGAGATTATTAGCTAACACCCGTTTTATGGTTTTATGGTTCTGGTTTTCTCTACAGATTTGTTCAGTTCCATCCAACGGCCTTAGCTGACGAGGGCCTTCCCGTCCAACCTACCAAGGCTCGAGAAAATGCATTTCTCATTACTGAAGCTGTCAGGGGTGATGGAGGCATACTGTACAATTTAGACATGGAAAGGTTCATGCCACTCTATGATGAACGAGCAGAACTTGCTCCGAGGGATGTGGTGGCAAGGTGCATAGATGACCAGCTTAAAAAGCGAAATGAGAAGTACGTGCTACTTGACATAAGTCACAAGCCCAGAGAAAAAATTCTCTCACACTTCCCCAACATAGCAGCCGAGTGCCTTAAGTATGGCTTGGACATAACTCGCCAGCCAATTCCCGTTGTTCCTGCTGCTCACTATATGTGTGGGGGAGTCCGTGCTGGACTCCAGGGAGAGACAAATGTGCAGGGCCTGTACGTGGCAGGCGAAGTTGCTTGCACAGGATTGCATGGAGCCAACCGTCTTGCTAGTAACTCATTGCTTGAAGCACTAGTTTTCGCACGAAGAGCAGTCCAACCCTCAATTGAACACATGAGGTGCTCTAGCCCCGACTTCAGCACTTCAAATTGGTGGGCCAGACCAATCGTGCCTGTCTCACTCGAGAGCAATGCCATCGAAAAAATTTTGGCAATGACAAGGGAAGTAAGAAAAGAAGTGCAATCGATCATGTGGAAGTATGTTGGAATTGTACGTTCTACAAGGAGGCTTGAAACAGCAAAGCAAAAGATTTGTGTTCTGGAGGATAAATGGGAGGACTACTTATTTCAGATGGGATGGGAACCCACAATGGTGGGGCTCGAGGCTTGCGAAATGAGAAACTTCTTCTGTTGTGCAAAACTGGTGGTGAGCAGCGCCCTTGATAGGCATGAGAGCCGCGGACTTCACTATACCATCGATTTTCCTGATCTTGAGGAGAGCAAGAGGCTTCCAACAGTTATACTCCCTTCATCCGTGCGAAGTTCATGGAGTTCGCGTCAACTACACAAGCTGCCATTGTGTTAGGAAGTGCAACTTTTTTGGCATCTGTTGAAATCATAGGGTTCTCAAGTTTTAGCTTCCCTTCCAGAACCGTTTTGGCTAGGATTGAAGCATCCGAAATTCGAGCAGCATCTGTGAAAGCCGCACCAGGTTGCACCATTTTAGCTTTTGGTTTCTGATTCCTTTTTACCTTCTATACTAAGATTCTTTGTTTCAAATAAAAGAAAGAAAACTTCATCAAAATATTAATGAAATAGTTTACAATTCAATTTGAATGTATATTTGCTGATCGATGAACAGTAAAAATGTAAATTTATCAACTGCAATCAGCATTCAGCTGAGAAAGTCAACTTTTTGTTTCAAATTTTTTCCGAAGTTTCCATTTTTTTCCCTCTGAACTTCTTCCCTCCAAATCCTTCAGAGAGAGAGAGAGGGCCAAAAACAAAAAGGAAATGTTTAGAGAAATGTTATTTAGCACTCAAAAATTAGCATTTTGCAACTCGACTCATTCGAGTGAAATATAGAGTGAAACGAGTGTGTACCACATGATGAACATATGAACTTGAATGGTTATGAATAAATATTCTTATTCACTTACATTCAAAATTGATTTTTTTAGCAAAAATGGTTCATAATATTGACATAACTCATTTATTTGGTATTTGAAAAAGAAAATCGATCGAAGTGATCTTTGGGTAGGGACGGCCCAGGTCTAGTGCGGGTAGGGCGACCGTCCAGAGCTCAAAAAAATTAAAGGCACCAAAATTATTAGGATGATATATTTACTTATGTTTTTATAAGAGTATAAATTTATAAAATTTGGTTTAGTGACAAAAAAATTTCAATTTTCGAAAAAAGCGTCTAGTCGGCCGCCTGGGCGCTAGGGCTGCCGCCGCGATTTTACCATAAACGTTCACTAAATTGGCAAGGGAATTAGGCAGTGTCTAGGCGCCCGACTCGGCGGGCTAGGCGGCCTTGACGGCAAGCTTGGCAGGTCTGTGAAAAAAACTATATACATCTCGCAGCTTCACTCATTGCGTAAAAGAGAACGCGACGACAAAAAATTTGGAGAAAGATAGAGCGATGGAGCGAGAGAGCGAGAGAGACGTTTAGAAGCAATTAGAAAAACAGATCTGCAATTGCAGGAAAAGAATGAGAAATTGACATGGACAGGACACTTGGGAAGTTGGGATTTCTTCTATGCGCCCGAGGAATTCGACCTGCCACAACCAGGTTTTGAGAAATTATACAGAGGAAGAAGAAGATAAGGAACTAGGCGGAGCAATCGAAGAAGGGGAGGAAAAGAAACAGAGAGAATCCAGAATAAAGGTCTTCATGGTTTCCAAGGCGTCAATGACCATCCCCTCTATTTGACCAGTTTCCACCACTTTCCCCTATTAATTATCCACTCCCCACTGTTATAAATTATAATCACCCACTACTCACTTATAATTTATAATAAAAGAAAATAAAAAATAATTACTCACTCTTCACTATTAAATAAATATGTTATATAATATATTAGGAATAGTATTTTATTATATTTGGTATTTCTAAGACCATCATATTATTATACTTAAAACTCCTACATTACATATATATACTTTTAAAAATAATGTATTATTTAATGTTTATGTATATATTACATAGAAAATTTATATGAAATGTTTATGTATTATTATATTTGGACTTAGATACTCTTTTTACATTTTATCATTCTTTTATTATTTTATCTATGAATTTCATACAAGTATAATTTTTTTGTAAGTGTCAATATGCACTTATTTACAAAATATACAAGAAATTTACCTAAATTCGCCTAGCCTGCCTGGACCCCTAGGCGGCTAGGCGCTAGCCCGCCACCCAACTAGCGCTTAGCTTTTTTTAGAACCTTGAGAAATTTAACTAGAACGGGTTGTTTTGTTGTTTAAAATCAATGAAGAGGTCTTATGTTCAAAACACCATGTGTGCTTATTTACATTCCAATTTTAACAAATTTCTTTTTCATAACAGCATAAATTTATAAAAATTGGCTAAATGTTCAAGAAGTTTAATTAGAAGCCATGGTTTTTGTTGTTTAAAATTAACAAGAGATCCAAAGTTCGAAATGCTATGTGCATGTTTATTGTTTTCAATTTTTACAAATTTTTGTTTGGTTGTTAATTTATTTACTAGCTAGTAACTATGTGGGTTGCTATTTTTAAATATCTGTTCCAATTTAAGTCTAATTTTCAACAAAGAGTAACATGTAGACTAAATTTTTAGACCAAATTTGCAAATAATATTACGTGTCATCAAAATGTTTAATTTAGTGTTCATTCATCACTTATACATATCCTTAAAGACTCGAAAAACATTATTATTTTTTTAGTCTTATATTGACGAGGTTAGTAAATAAGAAAAAATAGATCACGATTTATACAAAAACACTTTAAAAGTTCAGATGGAAAACAAAACTCATAATCTATCTACTTGTAAGCCCGAAGTTTTTTGGTTTCCTTCTCTCGATACAAAATAAATTAGTTATTCCGTGTTTCTAAATTATTGAGTTTGAATTGTTTTTCTAAATATAATTTTATCGATGTTTTACTTGTGAAAACAAATAATTTTTTTATATGAAGTGAGTGCACATTTTTTTACGTTGACCGGGCCTCAAAAATCTTTGGACCAGCCATGTCTCTAAGTTTGTCTATCATAAATCATTTTGGTCATTTCATGGAAAATTTGTCAATATCCTCATTAAGTGAAGGAATTGGTTTGACAAAAATACTCTTATGGTCGTTCACGTAATAGTTTAACGAGGATATTGGTAAATTTCACATGAATTGACCAAAATGATTTTACGGTAGACAAATTTAGAACCACTTATATTGATTTTCATTGTCAAAATTCAAAATTAAAAGTTATGTCAATCTCGATAACCATTTTGGCTTGAAAAATCCTAAACATCCTTGCTAGAAAGAAAAATTACATTACCCATCCACATGTGGACAAATTCAATCTAAATAGTGATAAATATGGTGCACCATGACGTCACTCTTATCTTCCTTTCGTAGAAAACCAACTTTATGGCAAGAGGTTCCAACTTGCTACAAACAAACATGTTTTGGTCCGTCCATGAAGAATATCTTCCATGCAATCCAATCCGATGACATAATTTCACGCGTAAAAGCTAAAAATTATGTCAAATGATTAATTGGGATATCGTTATAATGATATTTAAATAATTAAAAGCTAAAAACTATAACGGAGGATGATAAATTTTTTCTTTTGATACAACGAGATATTTACACTAAAGGATGAGATATTTGGATTAAGTCACACAACCAATCAACTATAAAAAAATTGGTATCGAACTCGCAAATTCAAACCTAAGACATTTTCACTCATAAGTGGATAGGTCTAGCACTAGATCATATTACTATATGAATATGGTTATCATACATTCAAAAGATAATGATATTTACGAGTAGTACTAAAGGCTCCAAGCCTCCAAACTATTGTCAAAACAATAATGCTATTTTGACGTTCAAAACTAACATACTTGCTGACTTTCTATAATGGAGGTGGGCCCTACCAGTATAGGTGGGATCTACTTGACTTAAAAAGTATCAGTGTCAGTTTTGGTATATATAAATCACATTACTCGATACTAACTAATATACTAACTAATATTATAGTATATCGTTAATTCTCTTGTGCGTCTTTCTATAGCTCATGTATTTGTTTTTGACTTCAATAGTTAAGCTTATCAAATAATTCGATTTTTAAAATAATCTTCACCGTTTGAAGTTTAAAGTCAATTTTCTTCATTCCTTTGCTAAACTACTTAGGACTCCAAGACTATTGAAAAAAATAAAATACATTTATTTTATCATATCATGTGTCACATCAGTTAGAATAAGTGTGGTTTACACTCTCCGGCATTTGAGATCAGACTTGGGTGGCACGTCGAAATTACTTTTGGTTTTTTGCTTACATTTACTAGTTGCACGAATGTAAATAGTACGAGTATCGTTAGCCGCCGCTGCATACATTTCGCTGAAATCTTGTATCTTGACATCTTGACAGACAAGTTTCGAGTTTCCTTTTGGTAATCGATATACGTATGCTCTTACGCCATCAATGGACTACCAAGCCGTATGCTCTTACGCGATCACTTCACCACCGCGCCAACTCTGTTGTTTATATATATATGATATAAGCTTAGCTTACTTATCAGTTCAGTTAATCTGCTTACACAAATGGCAGGAGGAGCAGGAATAGTGAAGAGGATGAAGTTGGGTTCACAAGGCCTCGAGGTGTCGGCTCAAGGCCTTGGCTGCATGGGCATGTCCGCCTTCTACGGCGCTCCAAAGCCCGACCATGACATGATCAGTCTCATCCACCATGCCATCAACAGCGGCGTCACCTTCCTTGATACCTCTGACATCTACGGTCCCTTCACCAACGAAATCCTTCTTGGCAAGGTAGGTAGCCCATATTGTTGGTTATGATTTGCGTTTACTTTAAATTGTAATCCATCTTAACTCGTATTGTATTAATAGATTTTCCGGTTTGTTTGGATTAAATGTTGAATTGGTGATGAACTCAAGTAGGTTTGATTGGTCTACATCCTGTTTTGATGTTACCAAATCAAGCACTAGCACTGAGAGAGGCAATACTCTATATAACTGCCTTCTGGGTTTTGTTTTGATTAATGTTGAATGGAATGAACTGATGACGAAGTGAATTTGGGATCTTCACTTCTGTAGTCTTGTTCCTGTATTTAATTGAATTAACTGAATGGAACACAGGCACTGAGTGAATTTGGTTAATTGGTTTGCTTGGGAGGGCTAAACGTGCTTTCTGGTAGCCAAAATAATTTATGAATGCGTAGCCAAAAGATTATGTGACTGCGTTTTGGCGAAACAATTTAAAAAGTGCTTATGGCTCATTTAAGTGTTTTCAGGAGAAGCGCATGTCAGATGCTTCTTTAGGAAGCAATTCCAAGTGCTTTTCTAGGAGACACTTGAATTTTTTAATAAGAATTTTGACTTCTTTATAGTAAAAGACATTACGGAAAAAGAAAAAAAAAATGCTTGTGAGCAGAAGTGCTTCTTATAGAAGCAACCCCAAATGAGATTGTTGCTTTGTTGTATTGAGTTCGCTGATGATAACATGAATTGGGTTTATGTTCACTGTATTGTTGCATTAATTTAACTGAATTTACTGAACCATGAACATGGTATTTGGGTTTTGTTTTGGATTAATGTCGAATTAAGTAAACTGGTTATGAAATGAACTGGCTTTTGTGGGATTGATGAGGAGCAGGCTCTCAAGGGAGGGGTACGAGACAAGGTTGAATTGGCCACCAAGTTTGGTCTCAGATTTGTGGAGAACAAGATGGAGGTGCACGGTGACCCTGCTTCTGCGAAAGCTACGATGAAGGTGCAAGGTGACCCAGCTTATGTGAGAGCTGCTCTCGAGAGTAGCTTGAAGCGCCTTGGTGTTGATTCTATTGATCTCTATTATCAGCATCGCATTGACAACTCCGTCCCCATTGAAGTCACGGTTTGTCTTCTTCCCTCTTGAATTTTGATCTCCTTTTAATTACAAACATAGAACAATATGCATCTGCGTCTGCGATTCTACGGGCCTGGTAAAGTTATGGTTATTTCACTGACTCACAGCATCCGGTATCCCTTTGTTAAGTCTCATATTTTATCCTCAATTTCGTTTCATTTCTTAGTGTCCATATGTATTTTTCTCGTTTGTAATGGCATGCATCATGGTTCACTTATTTTGCTGAATGCTTGCCGTCCCTTAAATTCCTTTATTATGTCTTATACAAGGTTGGGGAACTGAAGAAATTAGTTGAAGAGGGTAAGGTAAAGTACATCGGTCTATCCGAGGCCTCAGCTTCAACGATAAGAAGAGCCCATGCTGTTCATCCTATAACAGCTGTGCAGTTGGAGTGGTCCTTGTGGTCAAGAGATGTCGAGCAAGAAATAATTCCTACTTGTCGGTGAGGTTCACTGAAACAACGTAACTTGTTTACCAAAGTCCGAAGTAATTGTTAATTCTGATCTTAGTTTCCTAAACTTGCCAGGGAGCTTGGCATTGGTATTGTTGCGTATAGTCCTTTAGGAAGAGGATTCTTCGCATCAGGTGCTAAGTTTGTTGAAAACCTTGCCCACGATGATTCCCGAAAGGTTTGTCAATGTCACAAAAATTTTCATTCTAAAGTTAAAAGTGCTTCTCGGTCATAGAAGCATTTTTTGAAATAATGAACATGCCAGATGCTTCTTCAGGAAGCAAGCACTTGAATTTTTAATAAAAATTATTAACGTCTTTGTAATGAAAGCGTTTAACGGCAGAAGCACTTAAGAGCTGAAGTGCTTTCTTTCATTGGCTGCAGAATCTACCGAGGTTCCAACCCGAAAATGTAGAGCACAACAAAACACTATTCGAGCGAGTTAGTGATCTTGCAGCAAGGAAAGGGTGCACACCATCTCAGCTAGCATTGGCCTGGGTTCATCACCAAGGGAATGATGTGTGTCCTATCCCCGGAACCACCAAGATTGCAAATTTTGACCAGAATATCGCAGCTCTGTCTGTTAAACTGACACCGGAAGAGTTGGCTGAGCTCGAATCTTATGCTTCAGCAGATGCCGTTAAAGGTGATAGATATCCGAACTACTATAGCACTTGGTCGAACACCGAAACTCCGCCACTGTCTTCGTCAAACTTTTAAAATACAAGGCGAGCGATGAGCAGCAGTATTGCACCTAGTATTCTAGGCAGGGGCCTAGTCGAGTTTTTCTTGTCTTAATTAAATATATCATATAACAATAAAAACATTACTCACATGGTTCTACTTAATATATATATATATATATATATATATATATATATATATACATATAAATGTTATAAATAGGATTTATTACGTGGTTGTTCACATTCTGGATCAATATGTAATATTTCGATAGTTGAACACTTTTCTACATAAATCATACGCCTACAAATAGGCAAGCTAATAAGAAGGAAACATATCTTGATTCTCCTCCACTTTCTCTTGTGTCTCACTATTCTCTATTTTCTCTAATTTTATTTCTAACATGTTATCAGCACGCGTTTATTATATTTATTTTGAGCTAGAGTCATAATGTGATTTAGAATTTCTTATACTCAACCATTGGACTTCACCATGCTCTAAGTTGTTAGTTCTTTTTCTACAAATATTAATCGAGCGTTGAATTTATTTTGGTACGAATTAATTTGGAATGCTCGCGATTGTTTATTATCCCACCTGGTTATATGTGTGCGTGTTGGTAAAACTTGGAAGATATTGCTGTTTGTCTTTCTCCACCAAGCCTTGCAACACACGATCAACATGAATCTATAGCATGTATATCTTATTTCTTTGCTTTTTATTATTCCATGAATTATGTCAATGCAAAGGCTCTTAATATTTTCTTTAACCGGTTATGCATCAATACATGACATAAACATTTTTTTCTAATAAACAATATTATCTACATTAAGAATGAGGGATGAGTTTAGCTTTACAATGAGCTAGCAATAATATAGTTTAAATTCGCCTTTGGTGAGAATCGAACCTAAAACCTTTCATTTACAAATAAAAATGAATATCATTAAACCACAATACTAGGTGGCATGACATAAACATTTTTTTTTTTTTTTAAAGAGACAACTAGTGGTAAGCCACGATTATTCACCAATTTCAAGGGTTGGGAAGACTTACAAAGGCATTTTAGCCTCCCCTGGCCACAAGTCTAGCTTCTACAGCAGCAGCGGGTTTCGAATTCGAGACCTCCAATTTTTAGTTTTAAGGAAGCCTCGTACTATTCGCTTTAGTTATAAGCAAATATATATATATACAAATAATGTCCAATTAAGATATTTTATTACAAAAACAAGAATAATTTGAATACATCGATATTTTTACACTAAGAGGAGGGGGAGTTCAGCTAAATCACATAATGAGCAGCCTACCTCTCACTTCTAATTAAAAAGGAATACCATCAGATGGTAGTATTGAGTGTCAACAAGAAAGATATTTTGAATTATGTTATTCGTGGTTTTCCGAGAAGGAACACAAACCCTAAAATTTTGGAAAGCTTTGCGTAAAGAACTTGGACAATAGGATCTCTCCTATTTTGGGGATTTGGATCCAATCCCTACCACGTGTCCCAAATAAATTAAGAATTGTGTTAGCCATGTACCTATCTTTACTTCTCAATTTTTTTTTTAAATTTTTTTGTGGACGAATCAAATGAATTGAAGGAGATTAATGATTAAAAATTAACAAAAGTGTGTAAATGTAAGAATGAATGTGTGAATAACAATGATTTTCTGAAAACAAAACAGAAAAGTAAGTACCTCTCACTTCTCCTCCAATCTTCCTCCTCAACGTCTCAGTCACATGCACTGACTCATCATCTCTGCTTCCAAACCCAAGCCTCACTCAGTCTCTCCCTCTCCCTTGTAAATTTTGCTTTGGCATTTTGTTGGCCATATACAACTCTGGGGACTCAAACTCTGACACTGGGGCTATCTCAGCTGCCATATCCGAAGTTCCTCCTCCTAATGGTGAAACCTTCTTTGGAAAACCATCCGGGCGCTTGTCTGATCGCCGTCTTATAATCGACTTTATAGGTAATTTAATTAAGGGTATCTTTGATAATCATTTCGTTTTTAGTTTTTAGTTTTTATTTTTAATTTTTTTTTTGGTCGAATAATGTTTATCTGTTTCTAAACTTTGTGCAGCTGAGAAATTGCAGATACCATATCTTAGTCCATATCTGCACTCATTTGGGACTAATTTCCGGCATGGTGTGAATTTCGCAACCGGTGGTTCATCGATTAGGTCAGGCGGTTATAGTCCATTTCATCTTGGCATTCAAAAATTCTCATTTTGCAAGTCGACTCAGTCGAGTGAAATATAGAGTGAAATGAGCGAGTACCACTTGATGAACACATGAACTCGAATGGTTATGGATAAATATTCTTAATTATTTGCATTCAAAATCGCTTTTTTTTTGACAAAAGTGGTTCATGAGATTAACATAACTCTTTTCTTTGGTATTTGATAAAGAAAATCGATAGAAGTGATCCTTGAGTTTGTCCATCGTAAATCATTTTATGGAAAATCTGTCAATATCCTCGTTAAGTGGAGGGATTGGTTTGACAAAAAATACTCTTAAAAGGTAGTCATGTGGTCGTTCATGTAATAGTTTAACGAGGATATGACAAATTTCTCACGAATTGACCAAAATGATTTTACGGTGGACAAATTTAAGAACCACTTATATTGATTTTCATTGTCCGGAACTAAAATTAAAAATTATGTCAATTTCAATGACCTGACTTGAAAAATCTTAAACATCCTTGCTGTAAAGAAAAATTACATTATCCATCCACATGTGAACTAATTCAATCTCTGTAGTGATGATTGTGGTGCACCATGACGTCACTCTTATCTTCTTTTACTAAAAACCAACTTTATGACGAGAGGGTCCAACTTGCTGCAAACAAACATGTTTTGGTCTGTCCATGAAGAAGATCTTCCATGCAATCCAATCCGATGACGTACTGTCACCCATAAAAGCTAAAAACTATGTGGATAAGTGATTAATTGGATACCGTCACAGCGACATTTTTGTTGTCGGTCACTGTAAACACTATTGTGCCAATTTAAATCCAAGTGGTGTTGTAATCATCAATCTGCCATGGATTTTCTCAGGCTACTTTGTGCTGCTGTGCTTCTAGTTTTGGGGTTGCTGCTGGGAGGACAGAAGGCGGTGAATGCGGGTTCTGATGGCGGTTCCGGGAGTTGTCGCTTTCCAGCCATATACAACTTTGGGGACTCAAACTCTGACACTGGGGCTATCTCAGCTGCCATATCCGAAGTTCCTCCTCCTAATGGTGAAACCTTCTTTGGAAAACCTTCCGGGCGCTTGTCTGATGGCCGTCTTATAATCGACTTTATCGATAATTAAGGGTCTCTTTGATTAACCATTTTGTTTTTAGTTTCTAATATTTTTTTTTTGGTCGAATACTGTTCATCTGTTTCTAAACTTTGTGCAGCTGAGAAGATGCAGATACCATATCTTAGTCCATATCTGGACTCACTTGGGACTAATTTCCGGCATGGTGTGAATTTCGCAACCAGTGGTTCATCGATTAGGCCAGGCGGTTATAGTCCGTTTCATCTTGGCATTCAAATTTCCCAGTTCATAAGATTCAAGTCTCGCAGCATTGCGCTCTATAAACAACTTCAGTCGACCAGTCAGTCTTCTCTCCTAAACCTCTATTATTTCGGACACATTTGGTCTTTATGATTGAACTGGATTGGATAATTCACTAGATTTAAGGTACGTTCAGAAAGAAATGACGGCCAATCTCCTGTTTTGTCCGAATTGAAGGAATTACTGGATTCGTTATAAGGTGTTCTGACGTTTGTTATATCTTGAATCTCTTAAGTTATCCAGTTCAGTTCAATCTTACACATCAAATGTATGCCACCTAAATGTTCTATGCTACGAGCTAAAACTCATGCAATTGGAAACGGAAATTTTACCAGGAAGACTACCTAGGCCGGAGGACTTCCCGAAGGCTCTCTACACTTTCGATATTGGTCAGAATGATCTGGCCTACGGCATCCAACACGGGACGATAGAAGAAGTTAGAACCTCCATTCCTGCCATCCTGAGCCAGTTATCGCAAGCAATATCCGTACGTGCACTAAAACAGCGTTTACTTCGGACGTGACCAAAACATTGAGATATACTAATTCAATGTGCCACATTTTTCAGCAACTATACAAGGAAGGAGCTAGGTTTTTCTGGGTGCATAACACAGGTCCTCAAGGATGCTTGCCCTATAGCGTTATTTACGACAAATCAAAGCCTGGTAATCTGGACAAGAGCGGCTGCGTGAAGCCTCTCAATGCGGTGGCTCAGGAGTTCAACCGACAGCTTAAGAACAGCATAATGCGGTTGAGATCACAGCTCCCTCTTGCAGCATTCACGTACGTCGATGTGTACTCAGCTAAATACACTCTCATTTCCGATGCTAAAAAACAAGGTAACTTCAAAAGCCATTTAGAACATGTGCATAGCCTCGTAAGAACGGATGGTAATATGGTAGAAATTCGTGATTCACCAGGTTTTGTTGATCCTTTCGACTTTTGCTGCGGCAGTTACTACGGATTCCACATTGATTGTGGAAGGAAAGCCGTAGTGAATGGAACTGTGTATGGCAATCCTTGCAGCAGTCCGACAACGCATATCAGTTGGGATGGGATACACTACTCCCAGGCCGCCAATGCACTGATTGCCAGTCGCATTCTCAACGGCTCACTCTCTGACCCCCAGTTTCAATCACGCACGCTTGTCACAGTTCCAAGAATACATGAGCATGTTCGTGGATTATAAACCACAGCTTGTTTGATCAAAAACCATTTAGTATACTACTAATCAATCATTGTTGTTATCTCAGTCAATCGAAAACCGTTTAGTTATGGAAATGGAAAAGATCAGGTCAAGGTTTGTTTTAGCCTTTTTAGCTTGTTTGTCCACTAGGAAGCTTCAAATCAGAAGTGCTTTTGAGAAGGCAAGTGCTTTTAAGCCCTTCAAACATCTTCAGATGTTCATATTTCAACTCAGAGACAATTGCTGCCCAACTGCTGCGACAAGCTTTTGACTTCTAAGTAAAGTTTTAAACCTAAACAGTTCGGATCATCAAAATATAATGTGGAATGGACTCTAGAGAGGAAAACGATACTCCGCTAACGGGCATTTTGGTGCACCGAAAAATGAAAATGATGCTCCACCAATTCTTTATTGAGTATTTGACATTGATACAGTACAACGATGAATCTCACAAACAAATTTCCCACGTCAAAAAATACAATTCAACAAATCACCAAACTATTTTTCCCTTTATTTCTTCTAATTTTCTGTAACACTTCCAACAAATCTTTATATACGCTCCTACGTACTTAGTTGCGTGATCACGATACCTCGATGATGTCTTGTTTAATAATCTGTGCGGGGTTGTTGGTGTCGAGAAGTGTCTCCAGTGATCTGGTTTTCCTGTTCCGAGCCCTGCCGGCTTCTTTCAACAACTCGGACAACCTCCGCTTCTCGTCCGCCACATCCGGATTTGCTGTTCCCAGCTTCTCCTCTCTCATGCCAACAACATACTCCAGAATCTCAATGGCGGCATCCAACCTGTGTTCGTCACAAAAGTACAAAAGAGATTAAAGACCAAAAAGCATAGAAAAATAAAGAACAAGCTTAAAGCATGCTAAATACTTTAACCCTCATTGCATTAGATTTTTTTTTTTTTTTAATCGAGCGATATTTTAATCTAATCTAAGATAGAATGAGAATGATGAATGCAAAAACAAGGAAGAACATATTACCTGCCCATTGCATCATATGTGCCAGCCAAATTACTATAAACCCCTAATGTGTCAGGGTGATAAGGTCCATACTCCTTGTCCAAGATGTTCCTGGCTTCTTCAAACAGGTCTGCAGCCTCGTTGATCAAGTAACGCTGAATGCAGGCTAGCCCCATTTGGTTGAGAGCAATCCCAAATAACGCCGATTTCTTTTCTCCAGTGGCACGGAACTTGGTTATGGAACTCTTGAATGTGTTGTAAGAGTCAGTAAAATTTCCCATCATATAGTACAGTACCCCCATCTGAGCCTCAATTCCTGCACTTGTGCTCTGGTGGCCTGGAGCATCACCGAATATTTTCAAAGCCTTCTTGAGCAACTTCAGGGCCTGTTCCAGATCATTCATGGATTGATAGATTGCAGAAACATGAATGAGACCTCCGGCAATCTCTTCTGAGGGGATTCCGGGATTAGGTTTCCCATAAATTCGATGTGCATTTTCGCAGTATGATTTGGACTCCTTAAACTTTCCTATCTTGTTGTACACGTCAGCTAAACGAACATAAACAGAAGCCACTGCCGGATGAGTCTCTCCCTTCGTTGTCTTAAACACAGTGAGGGCCTTCTGGTAAGAAAATACTGCCTCATCATACCGTGCCAAGGATAGGTACGCATCACCAATGCTGCAATTTATCGAAGCTGCATCCGCTTCCTGATCATTGGCAGACATTGACATGTTTGCCAAAACATAATGCTCAAGAGCGGCTTCGAAATCTCCTTTCGAGTCACAGATTAGTCCCATGAGTCTTCTATCTGCCGCTTCCTCGAGGGAAGCAGAACCATTCTCCCTGTGGATTTCGAGCGCCATCTGACAGAGCTTCTCAGCCTCGTTGAATTGCAATGCTTGAACATGCGCCTCTGCTACATACCGACATGTCTCACCCAATCGCGGGTCCTTTTCTCCCAAGACTTGCCTTTGAATTTCCATACCTGCTGTATAAAATAATATTGAGTTCTCAATCTGACCGGTCATTGCATAAATGTCACCTAATTGCATGCACCCTGCAAACTTGGCTAGTGCATAGTTATCGCCATCCTCTATCGCTGGAATGTCAATGGCGCGCTCAAGAACTGGAATCGCCTCATTGTACTTCCGTAAGCTGCAATATATTGCTGCCAAAACATGCAAACACATAACCAGCTCTAAATTGGGCTTCTCACTCGTGCATTTCTCGAACAATTCCACTGCCCGGAGAGCTAACTTGAGCGCTTTCTTGGGGTTTTCGCCAGAAGAAATCAAATCCCTTGTTTGTTTGAGCAAATATGGCCCGAGGTCAAGGTTATTCAACCCTGCCTCAGGAGGATGATCATCGACTCCATTCTGAAACCTCGCCCCACCGCGTAAACCAAAACTCCTATGCTTGTTCTTAGACAATATCACATTGCCTTTTTTCGGATGCTTCCCATTCCTCTTATCAAGCAGAGGCTTCTCGTTAGTAGATTTGCTCTTCGGACTCGTTTTCGCAGATGGAGACTTAACTTTCGTTGGAGACCTTTTATCATCCGATACACTTGCTTTCTCGGGAGTTGAGTCACCACAAACACCATCCTCCTTGTTTTCCACAACCACCTCTTTCCTTATCTCCAAATCCTCTCGAGCATATCCGACAAGGTGGTTTAGCTCGGAGTCAATCCTCGATTCCTCACCGAACGATCCAAAGCTGGCCCGGGAAGGGGTTTGGTCCGAGCTCTGCATTTCACAGATGTTGTGATATAACTGCTCAATAGAGGTATCAATCCTGCCATTCATAGCCATACCAATGGAGCCATTGTGAGGACTTTGAGGACTCAACGTACTTCTCGGAGAACCCTGGCTGTAGCTTTCCTTTTGAGGCGCATAATCTCCATTTGATTCATCTACTTCGCCGTTTCGATTCATCGTATCCATAGCTAATTCGGGCATTGATTAGTGCTTGTGGAGTTGTGCTACGATATGAATAAATGGAATTAGGGGATGGGGATAACCACTAAATGATCAACTAATCGAGTGCTTCTCCATGAAGCACCTAAAAAATGTTTCTAGACACAAAAGCACTTGGAATTAAAACCTGAAGAAGCATCTGTCAGAAAGCGCTTCTAGGACCCATAAGCACTTACTTTTTCTTCCAAACATAGTCTGAATCACTTGTTTTTAACTCTTCGAGAAGCAGTCACAAACACGCTAAACCGTGATTATCTTTTAGCCATTCCAGAAACAGTCGCAAACAGGAATACATTTGTGATCAAGTTATCGAAAAAGTACTTGTGGAAGATTGAATTCTTTAGCAATAATCCTAAAGTCAAAGAAACAAACAATCCAATCCAAAAACTGGGTTCTTTTCAGAAACTCCAGAGTACTTGCTCAAGTAAATTTCATATCAGAAGAAAACGAAAGTCAAAAGCTATGGTTTTTGCCACAAATGGTGAAGAGTTCTTAATACATATGGAACCAAAACAATCAGAACCCATTAAAAACAGAGAAAACCCAATAAAATTATGGAAAAAAAAAATAGAAATAATAAACGAGTCATTAATTACCTGAAAATTATTGCGAGAGAATGCGAAAGTTTGAATCTTTGAAGGCTTCTTCACTGGGTGTTATGAACAGAGAGATACACAGAGACGACGATGTGTCTCTGTTTTCTTCAAAATATATAACAGCTTTAGGGGTAGAAGACAGTTGGAATGTTGAAGCAATGAGGAAGACGACCTCTCTCCCACTCCTCTCTTTCTCTCTCTCTCTCTCTCTCTCTCTCTCTCTCTCTCTGGCTTCTGATTTTCTTACTTTTTTTAATTAGTTTCAGAATTCCCCTAAATTTATGAAGTTTTTACTTTGGCCCTTCAACTTTTTTATTTCCTTTTAATTGGTCTCCGAATCTTTGGATACGTGTTTAACAAAGATGAAAAGTGACTCAAAATGTATATAATATGTTCACGTTTTGAATTGCAATTTGTTAATTCATATATTTTCACCAAAGTTTCCTCATCTTATGGTGTGTGGCGAGACACTTATTTTTTAATGCTGTTATGTTGCAATAAAACTAAAGTCAATAAAATTAAATTAGTCAGTCTATTTTAATCTATCTTTTATTAGTACTGAAATTGTAAGACCCGACAACACGACCTTTCAATTTCAATTGCAACTACCTTGATCAAATAATATTTAGCTTTTCTTCTTAAATATGCCATAGTTTAAGTCATTATTTCGCCCTTACATTGATTTTGTGTTTGTCAAAAAAGTTAGTCGATACCATGACACTTTCCAAAATGACGTCAATGCGGTTGGATATTAATCGCATTTTGAAAAATTTTGTAGCCAATTTGGGTAGAAAAGATAGGAAAGGCTCCGGATCTCTTTCTCCTAATCCATCAAATCAAGAGATCCGTACCATTAAAATTTGATCAAACGACTACAAATAAGAGCATATTTTAAAAATTATAATAACTTTAGTTATTAAAGCAAATTTTAAAAGTACAGATCTCTTGATTTGATGGATTATGAGGGAGGGATCCGGAGAGGATTCCTTTCTAAAAAGATAAATAGAGGATCAAAGTGAAACAACCACTAAACATTAGGTGCCATACGTAATTAACTCCCCTTGAAAAATTCTTTTGTATATATTAATTTCTGTCTTTTTTTCGCTGTGACGTCGCAAGTTGGCGGGATTAACGGCTTTTCAACGGCGAAAGGCGGTGGAAATGCTCGGATGGCAGTGCTGTTTGTTTCAGGAATACGAAACGTCGATCTCACTTTACCACGTGGCAGAAGGTAAAGCGAAGAAGCCTCAGCTTTTGTGGGACCGCGATTTAGTGATTGGCCCGCTTTTCCAGATTCCACGTGGATCACGTCCAGCTGGATTCAGCTGGTTCGCCGCTCGATGGAAACGTATAATGGGCCATGAGCTAACTGGACTTCGTGGGCCCAAACAAGTAAAAACCGGAAGGATAAAATATTATCATTAGGCCCAATTGAAAGTGAAAATTGTTGGTTCGCTTAAATTAAGGAAAGAATCTTATTATGTAGTAGGGTCATGGAACAAAACTTCAGACAAGATCAAATGATCGATTTAGTGGGGGACTCTACTAATTCCTTCACAGTATTTGGTTGTCATATACTTAATCACCATAAATTATATGGTCCATTGCAATCTCATCTACTAATGTTCATAATTTGGGTTGGTGCTATCTACACACCAATTTTTTCTACTAACACATCTTTTTTAATTTTTAGCTGTTGGATTGAATGAATTAAAGAAGATCAATAGACAAAAATCAATAAGGGTGTGTAGGAGGTAAAAAGGGATGTGTGAATAGCACTACCCATAATTTGTTCTAACTTTAGAGTAAGTAATTTTCTAGTTTGACCATGATAATGTTAATTTGGTGTGATATATCTATCATGTTATAACACATGTTACGTTTATTACATCATCAAATACAAGTGTAATGTTATTTTGATACGCAAGCCTGATAATATTGTTGACAAGCACTCTAATACAAGTGGATCCCTAATATGATAGTAAAAATAATCTCCATTAGAATGTATGTGATCAACAATGTGATTAGTTCTGTGCAATGGTATTGAAAATATGAACTTAATGTTCATCTGTATTATAACAACGGAATTAGTACCACAATATAAGATCCCTCATTTGATGGCAAGGCCCGAATATATTGGAGAGGGGTCATCAATAGTTTTGTATATTTAATATATAGTGTAATTTGTGAAATAAAAGAAATAGACTCGTGATTAAGATAGCATATCCCTGTATGAGCATGTTAGTATGATTTTCAAGGAAATATTGGTCAACGATGTGAGCTTTTTTGGATGTGTTTTTAAAATGATTGAAAACATTTTTGGTGAAAATATTTTTGAAATCAATCCTTAGTAAAAATGCGAGTAACTTATAGAAAAATGCTTAAAGTGCTTCCTTGAAAAAAACACATAACTGGTGCTTCTTGCAAAAAACACTTTAAGCGTTTTTTGAACCAAAAAATATTTTCTCTAAAAACACTTTCAATCATTTTAAAAGCACATTTAAACAAACTCTACAATTCTGCTTGGCCAATTTTTATTACTTGAAGTTTTATTTGATGTTTAATTTGTTTTTTCAAAAAAGATTTAGTAGGTGAGGCACCAATTCCATGATAGGCAATATAAAATGGATGCAGCAACAAACAAGTTTATCATATACTAAGAGAAAGTGTTTAAAATAATTAATCAAGTGGATTTCAACTAATTAAGTGGGGAGCTGTCTCATCTTCAACAGCAACAGCAACCACCATGACAAACGCCGACTGAGAATTTATTCTAAACAATATACACCGCTTTATTTTGCCGTGGTTGGTGTGATGTGGTGTCTCTCTTCTGCCAGTTGTTTGGACTTTTCAAACTAGTGTGTCCACAATTTGGATTTTTCATGGAAACTGAAAATATTTTGCAATGTTATTGTACGGCTTTGAATTTTGGTGAAATGTATTATGGGGATGAGTTTTCAATTTTCATATATATGGAATCAAAAACTAAAAAATTTGTATGGTGGTTATTTTTAGTTTCAATTGAAAAAAAAAAAAAAAACTAAATAAGAACTAAATCTTTAAAACTCACAATATTAAATTTCATATTTTAGTTTTCAACTGTTACCAAATAAGTTTTTAGTTTTAAAACTAAACAATGAAACCGAAATGATTAACAAATCTCAAAGGATGCATCTGTAATTGGATTTCAATCTTACCATGAGTTTCTTGTCTTTCAAAGCTCAAGAAAAATTATTAATACGCTTATCATTTTTAAAACAATAAAACGTGTGCTAGAATATCAAAACTCACTAGCAGCAATTAGTACCGAAATATTATCCCTTGTATATTATTCTTTGACGTGCACGTGCGACAAATTCTTAATAAAACAAACAACAACAACAAAAAAGGGCACCATAAGTAAATTCAATCTTTGGACAGGATATTCAGAAGAAAAGCATATCATCTTGTTCGCTTTAGCTTTAGGAAGGTTTATCTGCGTCTGGTGTAGGAGTTTGACTTTGTTCTAAAATTTAGTGGCTCCTTTATATTACACATGCATGGATTACATAATTGCCAAATAAAGGCAAAAATTGGTCCATCTCAATTGTTCATGATGGGCTCATGATCATATATCTCTAAGACTAGTCAAATGTCTATCATCTGTGATTGCTTACTCCATTTTAATTAGGATAGCGAGATTCGAGCTTAAAACATCTTTCGATATTAGAAAGCGAAGCGTTATTAGACCAAATTGTTGAATTAAATCTGCCTCACTCTGACCGATCACCACTATGCAGGGCCTTGCATATACTGTGTTAATTTAGCCTCCATGAGTCGTGTTGGTTAATTTCAAGATCCTAGCTATAATATGGTCTGAGTTTGACATGAACCCTTGATATTATGAGAAAACCTCATAGCTTATTAATTGAATAGTATCAAAGCTTATACACTGTCCTAGACTATTTTCGAAGAATACAAATAGAAAATGAATTAGGAAAACAATATAATTCAATATAATAATAAAATAATTAACAAAGTATCCAAAAATCTTACAAGCATAACAAACTAAAATGCCCATGTATCACAACGAGCAGTTTATAAAAACTTGTGACGGTTTGATTTCCAAACAAAAAGTGATCATGGGCTCAAATCGGACATAAACAAACTCAAATTTGCAAAAACTTAGATTTAAATGTAGAATTTTCGCCTTTCAATTTGACATTTGTTCTACTCCGCCGTTGAATTTACCTATAAAAAAAACTAGCTAAAAGAAGAAAAAAAGCAAGACCTTGGACTGAATGCTTGTTAATATTATTGTTGCCCACACATAACATGACAAGAACTTTCCACTGCTCCAATCACAAACCACTTGAAGATGGTGTGCAGCAGGAAGAATCGTTGAGTTGGGGGGTGCGGACTTCGCCGCAAAAACTGCCATTTCACTTGTCTATAAATTTTCTCGAGCTTCTACGGCAGGATATGATTGAACATCACTGCATCTCCAGTAAAGGACTTAATCTTCACTTTCGTTAGTTTATATTCATCATCATCATCGTCATCAGGTTCGCTGACTGCTGATTTTCCCAGTCATTGCTATTATCATATATTCAAACATGTTTCTGGACCTCTGGTATTGAAGTCGACGTGAAGGCCACTTTTTTGCCAGGTTTTTGGTTTGACATTCGAAACATGAGAGAGAGAGAGAGAGAGACGTAAGTGTCTGTAGTGGTGGATGATATATTGGTCGAGGAGAGAGAGAGAGAGAGAGACGTAAGTGTGTGTAGTGGTGGACGATATATTGGTCAAGGAAAACATGCAGTACTGGTGCATGTTGCATGGAAGTGGACCCGCTGATCGATGGAAAACACCAGAATATAATTGAATGATCTCAGCTTTCTCTGCTGTACAACTTTAAATTCTTTTGGTTTTGGCATCTTCAAAGCTCGTATGAATGAAGAATCTACTGGTGAGGCCCATCTTGGTCAAAAGGAAGTCTTGCTGACAGTTCTTCCCCCATGCCATGCCATGCATTTCTAAAGTCAAAATCCTCTTTTCTGTCTCTTTCATACGTGTGTAATTTGGTCAAGATAGATAAGATTGGAAATTTTTCTATATCGTTGATGATACGAAAATGAATGACAAAGATAAAAACTAAAAAAATTTAAATAGTCATGAATATCAAATTCAACGGCTAAAACAGTTTGGAGCGCCCACTCTCGATAAGGTTAGTGTAATGGTACTAACAAA